ACTAAATACTGACAGAAGCATGATTCAGATCTTCTGGAGGACCTTCACTAACCTAGTAATGACGGTGGACAGTGCAGGTGGCAGTGACTCAACCGGGACAGGATAGGAATGATTGGTTGAAGTGCCTTTATCAGAGATGATTCACTGAGGATAAGTTAATTTATAACAGGCGTGGTTCGGTCATGATGAATAAACGGGCTCAATAAAACAAATCTTTTTTTGAATAGCTCTCTTTGCGTGTTTCTTTCTCGCTTGTCTTTGCCACCGCTTCAAGCACAAAAGGCGCTGTAATCTGATTTCTATTCATGACACCTTCTCTGCTTCCAAAACACAAGGGCTTACATAATGAGCAATGAGGAAATGAGACTTATCAGCTGCCATATCATACATAGCACATCACTCTGCCCTGAGGAGAATGGTTCTTTTATGACTTTTTTTTTTTTTTCTTCCATCCTTTCTTTTCCATCTGTCCATATGACTGGGCAGACTCCCATTGCTGTGCTCTCCACCCGCCCCCCCATGTTCACTGGCATGGCCTCCAGTCCCACTCACTCTTTCTGCTCAATCAATCTGAGCCCTAAACAGTCTCTCTCTGCCATCGGGAACCAAAGTGTGCAGCTGGCTTGATAGGTTGGTCACAGAGATAAATGGCCCAGATCCCATTCTGACTGGCAATGACGAGTGTGATCAAACTAAGAACATACACTGGTTTTTGGAGGCCAAAAGTTGATACGCGAGAGCAAAAATAATCTCTCCTAATATAAAAGGCAGATTTTTTCACATACTGTGTTTTTTGCAATGATCTCACAAATTTGGAAATCAAAAGAGTTACCATTACACGTACCAAGACAGGGCATTTTTACAGTATTAAACTTAACACTCTTCACAGGCTCAGCACCACCATCTGTTTAGCTGTGATATGCTACTCAGCCAACGCATGTGCTGACAAATACTGTAAATAGTGGAGTATGCAGGACAAACTAAGTCACGATTACACGGTTTCCAAATTACTAAAGTGATTCTTTATGCATTATGTGCAGGTGTTTCATTCATCAAGAGCATCAATATTTGTTAGCGCTACCATTAACTGTAACAACATTAACTGCACAATTAATACTGTCCTTAATAGAGGTAGTACTGTTCTGATTAATTACATCGAGACTCATTAACATGCCGTTCATGCATTAGGCCAGGTTCTGAGTGTAACTGCAATCACTTTTCACTAAATTCTTGCAAATCATTTCCTCTGCATCTTTTTCTTGGCATTCCATCTATTAAATTTCCACTCCCATCAAATCAGAGAGGTTATCTGGGCCGGGAGACAGAAAAGAGAAGCTTCATCTATAATCAGACCCATTTCTTGTAAAGCTGATTGAGGACACTGTGTAAAATTGTGCACCGAGCTATTCATCAGTGAGATCAGACACACAAAACGTGGGTATCACAGGCTCGCCTCACCTGCTCAATTGGTGGACTAATTCACAAGAGGGGATTCTTACAGCTAGCCTAATGGGGCACAGGTTGATTTGCAGCTCATCACTGCTCATCACAGCCATGATGTGATGAGCATATTCACTAAAACCTGTCTGTTGAAGAGGCAATTGAAGAGTTCATGAATAATGATGCCACAGCCGAATAAAAGGGACCTGAACAACATTTGGGACCACACGTCTCTCTCTCTCTCTTTCTCTTACCCTAAATTCTACAAGTTATGCACTATATTATGGGAAAATTGTAAGACTTGCTCAACAATGGCACCCTCTACCTGCTGTGTAATCAGACACTTTTGAAAAGGCAGGTTTGTTTAAGTAAAACTCTGCAGAGGAAACATAATACAGCATGAGACTGGTGACACAAGTGCGAGGGCTAGCATATTTAAACTGTAAATCGTGAGGAAAACTAGAATAATTCTGCAGTCCCCATTACAAAAGTCAAACTTAAAGTAATACATTATTACATTTTGATTGTATTACATTGTTCCACATATAGGTTGTCAATTTAATGATCCACATAAGCCAAAAAGGGTTTGTCCCTGCCCCTGTGTGTGTGTGTTCCTATGTCTGAAATGACTGGAAACCACTTTACAGGTGAGAGCATGTACAGTTCCTTCACATCACATCTTCTCTCTGCTTCTGAGCTTTGAAGTGGAAATGCTCAAGAGCAAGAGAAAGTGAAGTATTTCTAACTTGAGTTCTAAAAAGATACTTTTGGAATCAACTGAAACTCTCAAATGAATTGGTAGCCTAATAATAATACATCCCCATATTGGTTAGGATTGCAAATCATAGCCACAAGATTAGGTGATGAGAGAAAAGTATAAGAATTCCCTCTAGACAGCCCATTCATCAATAGGACAAACATTATGAATAATTTAGTAAGTCTATATTCCCCACAGCCATGTACACATATATATTTTTAAATAAACAAACAGAGTGGGTATTCAATTATTTCAACTTAACGCTCACTGACTTTTTCTGGGAAGTGGAGACTACTATAAACACCTTGAATTGAGGGCTTAGTTATGTGTCCATAAAGATGCACACCGTGTTAGCCATTTTACTTGTAGTACCTGAACTAAATCAAATTTAACTCAATGAAAACTGGTCAAAGAATACATGCAAAACGACATCGACATAGTTCACCTCTCATTACCTCCGTTTCGAGCTGCACTAGTTCCATTGTGGGCCATGGCTCCGCGATCTGTGCAAGCGGCATTTTCGCAGGATCTTCAGTTACCCCCCTCAGTTGCTCAAGTAGCCAACGAATAGGGTCTTCCCAGACTTGGCGGTGCCGCTCCTGTCAAGTGCAGTTCACTGAGGAGCACCTCACTCAGGTCCAAAGTCCAGGTGGTGCAGATTTATCAGCACTTCGCTCTCTGCTCAGAGAAAAAGACGCGCATGCAGACGCTGCAAGCACAACCAGGAGCTTTACAAACAATTGTAATCCTTCGCTGGCGTTGGCTGGCCACCTGTGTGTACTGGCTGAAGGTGATAATCCAGCTTGAAACACCATAAAAACCAAACAAACCTTGTGTTCGTCCAGGTAACGCGCGTTGGTTACTCAGGATTTGGGTTTGACAAGCGGGAGAGAGAGGACAGCCCAACACCGTGACCCTTTAACAGGGTTTTGCAAGAGTCTAATGGCACCTACAGGAATTAGCCAGACAGTAAGAGTCCGTGCTGTCTTTGCAATCGACGTGGTATCAGAGCTGAACGTCTTCCTCCCAGTGTGCTCGTGGCTTCTCCCGGGCAGAAAGGAAGACTTCGCTCTGTCCGCTTGTTTCCCAGCAGTGTGCGATGCGCGCAGAGACCTCAGTGTAGCTCTGTAGTACGAGCACGCTCCAACTCGAGCTGTAATTGGCAGACTCCAGCAGGATTTCATCCAGCCCTCTATTTCTATTTGTCCCGCCCAGGTCCGATCGTGCCATCATGCGGCAGGCAGATGAACTGCAAATACGTAATGCAGACTGGAGCCTTCTATTAATGAACGGACTGCTTGTGGTGCAGCAGGTGCATCAGAGGAGTACAAACCCTCTACTCAAAGGAAAGCCTGCCAGTCAATTCATAATGCCATTGGATTGCAGCCAAAGAGCACTGAAGAAATATGTGATTGCATAATGTCCGCTGTGAACTCAAGGCTGGTCACAAAAGATGGCAATGCAGAGTGTGCAACTGACTTTTCAATATGTTTTTAATTTTACAAAAATATATTTAGAGCACATTCCCTTTGGACCCATATCACCACTCCCTCTAGGTCTAAAAACAACACACATTGTTGCAACACTTACATAATAGGTTACACAATAAATACAATGTAAAGAACAGAAGAGACTAGAATCTGGGTCGTGACCAGTGCTGTTTGATTCTGTCCTGACATTACATTGATGCAGCTCTCTTTTCATTGACAACAGCTCTTCTAATGGTCCTTGTTATCTTCAGTGATATAATACTCCCATCCACCGTCAACACTTCTCAGCTTCATTCACTACCGAGTGGATTTTGCTCTTGGCTAGCTTTGGTTACTATTGGCAACTGAAGAGCATCAAACCCCCCTCGCCGTGGATGGATCAGATACATTTTTGATTCAAATTAACATGTAGAAGGCATTTCATGGAAACAAATGTGAAAAATGAATTGACATGGTGTGGAGCCTGTCTTTTGATGTATGTGTTGTCTCAGTACTGTATATGCAAAATGCTGCTGCATTGATAAAGCCTATTTATCATACCAACCTGCATTTATCAGTCTGAGTTCTGTGACAGGTTGAACACACATCTGAACTGGAGAGGGAACATTTCCTATCTAACAGCATATATATGACATGTGCGGATTTTGGACTTCCAAGCTGTTAACTTGCAACACCTTGTCTGTTCCCTCCAGAATTACTGTCACATGCATTCATGTCTGAAGGTTTGCTGCAGTTTCAACCTATTCATATTTTCCTTTATCTTCCTGTAGAGGATTTGTCTGTATTTCTGCGCACACAACATGTTTACATGATCTATCGTTTTGAAGCAATGCTACTTGTGCATATGGACACAATAAATATGATGTGTGTTAACACCTGTTTGTTGACACCTTTTCCTCCAATTTTTCACACACCAGGGAAGAAGGAGGAAGTCAATGGAGAGAGAAAGCTCTGAAGGTCGATGTACAGCAAATTTATTTTCAGACAATACCATACCACCTAAGGGTGGTCAGAAAGTAAGATTACATCACAAAGGGGCTTGTATCTACCACACTCACGATGGATGTACCAGTAATATTCAAAGTCACTCCCATCCCAAGCCTCACATTAATCAATTTGTCTCAATGATGGATAAGCAGCTGCCATAGGAACACTCATAGAACCTCTTAATGCCATATTGGTGTTTGTTATTTAGTGCAGCCGTACGACAGACCATTGCTCATTATTTTCTCTTCTCCTCATCTCTCATTCTCTTTCACCTAATTTTTCCCTCACCATCCAATATATCCAAGACAAGTGACACTCTGATGCTGAACATTTCTCACTGTTTATGGCTCCTCCTGGATGAGATGATGAATTCCAGATGTTCAGTTTGTCCTGTGGTGAAAGTGAAGGGGGTTATAAAGACAATTTTTAGGAGTGAATAAAAAGAGGAAGGGTGAAAAGTCATGTAAGGATGCCTGAGAATGGGGGCAAAGCTCTTTTTAACAGTGATGCTTTCCAGAAATAAATACATTGTAAGATGAGGGTCGCTGGTGGCCAGTTGGAAATAGCTTATTGTAAAAACAAACTACCTATGAAAAGGTACATTGATACTGACTGACATGTTGATGTTAGATGTGACGTAAATTGCTAGTCTGACTGCAGAGACACTCTTCCTCTATTCATGATGCACCAGTGACATCACAGGTGACAGCGATGACTCAGAGGTGTCTCCCATTCAGTGACAGAGAAATCAGGGAAACCAGGGATGCCCTGCCCCCACCTTCAGCTACACGAGATGCATCATGGGTAATATGACTCAGTCCAGCTTGCCATGCCTGTGCAATGGAGCAAGACTCCACCCTGTCCTGTTGGTGTATTGGAGTGAGGTGTGTTTTCCGAGTATAACTGAAACATTAGCTGAGCTGTGACAAAAGAGATGATGGCTGATTTGGTCCCCAAGCGACAGACTGCAAATGAGATAAACTGTTGCAAAGACGACCCTAATTTTCAGTTGAACATGCACAGCAATAAACAGTGCTTTTAAAATGCAAATACATGCATACTCCAGTTGTGAAGTGGCAGCAGGTTCTGAAACAACTCCTCAAAATGCATTTTTTCATTTAGTACTGCTGCTTTTCTCTAATTGTGTTAATTGTTTTACTTTACTTCATTCAGCTTTTGTCCCACTGCAGTAGACGTGTGCATTTTTAATGTATAGGTTCATTTGTGAAGCTGCTTTTCTTTATTTCTGTCCCGTAAATTTAGTGCTTGCTTTGTCTGTATTTATTTTATTTCTGATTTTATTATTTGGATTTCCAAACTTACTGCACTTACTATCTTACTGAATGTATGACAGCTGCGGGAGAGCCTTAATGCCTCTAATGTATGCCATATTTTAAGATGTCGGAGGAGGCTACAGAGTGTATCTGTATGGATGTGCATGTTGGAATTACCATACATACTGCTAAAAGTCTTTGATTAAAAGTGTTTGGTAGTTATTCTGTTTTACTTTCCATTTCCTACTCACCATTATAAGGATGAGTGAACTTGAATTGCATCTAAAGCAGATTAGAGTGGAGTTAAATCTAATGTTAATTTAATCCAAGGGATTAATTTGTTGATGTAATACAAGCACTATGAATTGACTCCACTTAAAGACAAGATCATCCCAGCATTAAAGCAGTGACATAAATATACCCAGATCTCGTGCAGATGAATCCAACTCACAAAGACTAATGGACATGCCATCTTTTGTTACAGCATACAGTACATTTCATCCTAGTAGACTTAATTTCAGAACTAAATCTAATACATATGGGTGTCAGGTTTCAATGAGAGTACTTTCAGACCTTTGACAATAATTCTCGCTTAGCTGAGCTCAATGAGCACATTTGTGCGGTGCAAGGATCAACGCCATCAGTGGGGCTGCAGCATAGAATTAATTAGCAGCTCAATAGTGGAGCAACGGTAATTATCCAATCTCTTCGGACTGACTAAAGCAGGAGAAGAAGGCATTGTAATGATTCAAAATGTGCTCTGCCTCTGTGCCATACAGAGGTGATGATAAAATAGCATTATTGTATTTCAAACATTAATGGAATTATCATTTGTCACCGAAATGGCTCATGGGACAATGTGGTTGTAGATGAACTGGGCGGGGAATATTGATCAGTAACTAAAGTTGAGCGGAGGGTGAGGGGAGGGAAAAGGAGAGAGGCTATGGTTATCCATTGTTGATTATGAAGTACAATCTTGTTCCCTTTTGTTGTCAACACAGTGTTTTGCCGTAACAGCTAATGCATAGCAGAGTCTCCTGACTCTATAATCTTATGACTGCAGTAAAGGGTGCGCTGTGGAGCCAAAACAGCATGTTGAGGCTTGAATTTGTATTTCTGGAATTTGGGCTGAGCAAAAAGGCAGGCCAGGTAAAAGGCCTTTATTTATTTGTTTTTTAAAAAGCTACTGTAACACATCATCGTGTCATTGAATTTCACTGTGGGGATTGCTTGCAGGCTGGAAAACAAGAAAAAAAAAAAAAAGCTGCTATCATTGGAATAATACCACTGCAGTATACTGGACAAGAGCACAGGGTAGTGCTGGAGACTTTACGCAAGAACAGGCAAGGATTTTGCAATCCATTGGTTTTCCATTACTGAAGATGAGCCTTGACTTGTCAGACTAGTGGACTGATGTCTTCCATTAAAGCTCAGTTATTTTCCTCTCACTTTCAGCAGAGACCATCTTGACCTAACAGAAGATAAATATCGATTCAGTCAATTTGTTTTTACTTTGAAATACACTTATCCATGATGATGAAATGATAAAGGCACATACAGTATCAAAACAGCATTTCCCTATCATGGTTTAGGTTAAACCATGTAGATTTAAGCAATTATAATATGTCACATTTTATTACAAAGACACATTACAGGACTAGATTTTTATATACAGCCTAACAGATTTTCTCTAAATATTAGAAAATATTGGCTCAAAACACACATGGGGATACCGCTCCAGTTTGGCGGCTGACATATGAATCTGACTTTTCCCCTTCCTAAATCTCTTTCTCTTGGTTCAAAGAGAACAACAGCAGGGGGTGCCAGATATCAGAGGGCAGTTCTTTCATGAATATAGCCTTTTCATCAGGCCTTGCCCTTTACTTTCAACATTCAACAGTAGGTTTGCTGGGAATTGCACCACTGGCAATGGCTTCCTGTTGTAGCTCACAGCATTAGATTCCACGATTCATTCACAGAATCTCTTAAGGTGCTATAGACTTGTGGTGAGCATGAATGGAGCATACACTGCTTCAAGATGTTAAAAAGTAGCATTTTGATCCACTACACAAAGTAGTTGGACATGGTTGTTGGGACTCCTTTAAGATTTAATGTGTAATATGTAGGTAATCATTCAACATAAAATGAACTTTGAACCCCAAAGCCAATGACTGATTGACTGATTCTGCATGGAGAATAAATACCAATGAGTTAAAGGTGGTGTATACAATTCTAATGAAAGACACATATTTTTGTCTGTGTATGCTAAAAAATGTAGTGTTTGTACACAGGCCTGGCTCTGTAAATGGGGACCAAGCAAAGTGGGTTGGACTGATCGAGCAACCCAACACTATTCCAGCCAACCCAGCCATGATTTGTGTTTCAGGTAAAATTACATTACTTGCCCGTGTCCATTCAGCTCACTTTATAACTTGCCAATACAAGCTGTTGTTGCGATGTTAGTCAAGGTAGCAGAAGAGTTGTGAGTATTGCCCCCCCTATAAGTAAGGCTGTTTGGGGCTTTTAATTCTCCACGACACCATATACCTCACTGTGTGTAGTCACATAACACATTATTATAATTTACAATAACAGTGGCAGAGGAAGTACTCAGATCTTCTACTTAAGTAAAAGTACCTATACCACAATGTATAAGTACATTACAAGTAAAAGTCTACGTAAAAGTACAGAAGTATTAAAATCAAAATGTACAAAGTATCAAAAGTAAAAGTACTTGTATTGCCAATTATATATTATTATATTTTAGGTTATGGGATTATTAATACAGATCAACCAATGTGAAAGTAGCGGTCAGTGGAGCCAGTTTTGACTACTACCTTATATGGTAAAGAACCTCGGGGTTGGGCCCCTTCAAAGCCTCCCAATAATCTTGAGGGTTGTGAAAGGAAAGAAGAAAAAACAAAGTTCTGGTACAAAAATATAAAAATAAAGTTAATATTTGTGCCTTTTCTCTAATCTTTGCTGATTTGTAGTGACAATTTTACTTCTTTGGGATTGAAACAGTTATTTAAGTGAAACCCCCTTGGTAGGAAAAGAGAGGAAAAAGTCCCATCAGCATCTCAAACAGAGATAAAGGGAATCCAAACTCGATCAGCCACATGGTTTAATCTTTAATAAACTGTTTAAATGATCTTGTTTTTTTTAAAATAGGGCTAACATCTAACCCTTACCCTTGTCAACTCATAGCTGTCAGATAAATGTAGTGGAATAAAAACTACAATATTAACCTCTGAAATGTAGAAGTATAAAATAGCATAAAATGGAAATACGAAAGTACAAGTAACTCAAAATTGTAAAATAGAAAACAGTAGTTGAGTAAAAATACTTAGTTACTTTCCACCACTCTACATTTAAAGCATCCCTGTGTTCTTTCTTTAGTCAACACACAAACAGATTCAGTGTTTGTGTGTGTTATAGATAAATGATTCATGAATAAACTCCTCCAGTACCATGCTTCTGAAATAATTATCTAACTAATTACTGATACTGTAAATAATTCAGCAGAAATGCCCTCATACATCCTATGTCCTCATTTTTTTCAATATTGGAGCGGAGATGTAAACACAGTTCAAAGGACAAAATAGGAAACATTTCCAGATAATTCCTCAGAAAGCAGCCTAACCAGCGCACTTGGAAAAGAGGATTAGGTCTGCTGGCATGTAAGGGGAGAACAAGTTATTTATCCTTTTAATCTATTGCAGTTTAGGAACTTTAAGGGAAACAGAAAAGTTGCATTAGCATTTGAGTGAATTTTTGTGTAGGAGATCATAATCATGCTAAGAAAGCAGAGTAGCTTTTATTTTCCTAATAAAACACAGGTTGCACAGTTGCACTATAATGCAATCAGATGCAGTCAGAAAGATGGTGTTGCTGTTATTGTGTGCACACCTTGCCTCCACATGCTTCTGTGTAAATATCATAGGCACTGCGCCATTTTCGTGATTGCGCATGAAAATAAAACTATAAGGGAAGTTATGAAGCCTTAAAGCGACAGCACCTTTCTCTCTCACACACACTCACAAACACACACTATTCCTACAGGTAAGGAGGGGGGCCTAGATGGGAGGGGTCTTTGCTCCTGGTCGAGCCTGACAGTTCCGCACTATTGGCTGACAGCAGGGGCAGTCTTACCTGTACCTGTGTGAAGGAGTGCCATTCGTCATCGTCCGACTCCAAATCAGAATCGACTTTTCCTTCTTCCAGCAGCACGGAGAGGTAGAAGTCGGCCAGGGCGGCTGGAAAGTGAGCCAGCGACTGCAGAAGGACTTGGAGCATGGAACCTATAACGTCGTGGAGCGAGGAGCAAGTCAGCTCCTGGCTCCAAGGTGAGGAACATATTGCGCTTTTCCCCAACCCGCACCTTGATCGCCTCTCAGGTACTTTGGCTTGGACGGGAAAGTCAGAAATAGAAGCGCCACACAAATCCTCTTGTAAGTGAAAGGTGGAGGTGGAATGAGGAAGTGGCCCGTGCTGAGAAAGAATTCACAGCAATCTTGTTCAGATCAGTAGCAACCCCTGATCATTAGAAACTGTGTACATGGCTGACTGTTTTCTACTTCTAGTACGCGTTGCGTTCCCTGGGCTGATTCATGTTTTCTGTAGCCCAGAGGGTCATATACAGACAGTATACTGCTCACTCCACCGTAAAGTGCTTGGAATGATGTTCTCTTATGCTGTTTTATAGGGGAAATGTATTAGTATTAAAATATCTGCCTACAGTACAGATAAGCTATTACCAGTGCTCACCTGCAACTAAGAAGTAACTAAGTAAATTTACTCAACTTAAGTACAGTGTCTATAAATATATTAATTTGGCTTATATGTACAGAATATATTGTATTTTTATCCATTACATTTATTCAGCAGTTACTTTTTTGATCAGTGTATAAAACATTCAATATGATTCAATATAACAGGGACAGTGGGCATTCTGCATATTTTCACTTTTGATACTTTAAGTACATGTTGTTGCTTATACTTTTACTTAAGTAAAATGTAGAATGCAAGACTTGTGCTGTACAAGGAGAATTGTTATAGTGTAGTATTGCTATTTTGTTGCTATTGCAGTCAATTATTTGAATACTTCCACCACTGACTATTACATGTCATAACACATTTAAGACACAGTGTTAAGCTAATTTTTTAAGTGGTTGTAGTTAATAAGTCATTCTTTCAAAAGCTTACACAGTTAGGAGACATGATATTCATATTAAAATCATCATGTAGTTACTATATAGTAACTATTTGGAGCGGAGCAGGAGTCTTGTTTCATGCTTCATACTACACTCAAGATGCTTGCAGCCTACCAATCTCCTGCCTCTATTTGTCCATGCTCTCTCTGCCTGTCTCTGCTTGTACATGCATGTGACTTTCTAACTATGCGGGGTTTCCATTCATACTTGTTCTCTGCATGTGGTTAGAGCCTAAGTGTATGTGCTTTTGTGTCCTGCTGCCAGGTCTGGATGCCCCCTTGCATCAGTATGCGGTCTCGGAGTGGCATTTGTCGGGTCTGGATCTGCTCCAGCTGACCTCTCAGGACCTGGAAAAGTTGGGAATACATAAGATCGGACATCAGGAGCTCATACTGGAGGCTGTGGAGAAACTCTGCTCTCTGGTAAGCGGGAAGCGCGGTCATGTGTGTTTGTGTACAGTATGTGTCCATAGCAGTGCAATGTGTATCCAAGGCTGTGAGTGTTATGGAAGCTGTGCTCTGGGTTTTTTCTGAGCAGTCATCTTGTCTTGTTGTTGTGCTGTCATTGTTCTGATATTAGAGCACAGATGTGTATTTTTTTCACCATCACTCTGTTTTTAGACCCCGCTCTTGTTTGCACAATCTTTTGCAAATCCAGCCAGAATACACAACTGCTCTTATTGCCATACAAGTCCTGCTTCATTGAAGTACACTCAGCCTTTAACAACATGCAGCAAGTCTGAGTTCATCGCTTCACTTTGAGCTCCACTTTTATATCAAAATCCCCCAAGTCAAGCATATCATAGTAAACTAGCTCTAGCTAACATCAAAGGGCTAACCATGCTTCAACTGCAACCAAAGCAGATTTAGAATACAAAAGCTTATGTCAAATATTTTACATGCAAATCTCTAGGAAAGTTGGTAGTCTGCTGAAAAAAAAACTTCTGCCCCCCCCGTTGATTCTTTATCAAAGTTTTCATCCTGCTAATCTAATAAAATTTTCCTCCCTGTCCAATTCTGAGAGGGAGTTTTAGGACACCTAATAGCTGCGTTGGTGTGTATGTGTGTGTGTGGGGGTGATTGTGTGTTTGTTTCATTGGAAGGACTAATTGAGCAGGACAGTATCAGGCAACGTTCCAGCTCTGGTGGTGTAACAGTCTGTGAGCATCAGGCTAAAGCTCAGGCTGCTTGAAATGCTTGCTGTCCACAACGTAATACTGATTGAAATAGTCAGAGTTTAACCCAGAGTCTGAATGAATGAGTGTGTCTTTAGTAGAAGCTTCACATAAGTACACTCCTGTGAAATTGTTTAACATAAGACAAGATTAGAATTCATGCACAGATAAACTGTTGAAATGTGTACCTTGAGTACTGTGTGTGTGTGTGTGTGTGTGTGTGTGTGTGTGTGAATGTGTGTGCCTCTCTTCCTCTCTGTCTTGATGCCCCATGAAGTGCTAACACTGTACTCATTCATAAAACCAACCATCAGACGCTCACATGGAAGAGACCTAACATATTCAAGTACACAGTTACATAATTAGCAACTACAGTGTTGTGTTGATGGAGGGGTGTTCTGGCTGGTTGATAGCTATAACAATAAAACCTGAGCGATTCAAACCTCTTGACTACTGATGAGTGGGTCACGACAATGACCTGCTCCTTCTTCACTGGTTGTGAAGAGTCACGTCTCCCGCAGTGGGGCAGGAAACTGTGATGAGTGCTGTGATGTGTGGGAGAGAGAGGCTCTGTCCTGTTCTGTGGGGAACATTTATTTTATCCCTCGCTACTGTTTGATATGGTAGCTTTGGATGGCTTGTATTGTGTTGTACTGAGAGATGGTTCTCTCTACCCTAACTGATATAAAAGGGTGTGGACAAAATATTAGAACCGCCTCCAAAATGGTCATAAAGTTGAATCAACACCTCTCTAAAACAGTTCCAAAAAAATCTGAACGTTGTTTTGCAAGACTGTCTCATTAGACTACATAAGTTTGGTGCACCTAGGCCAATAACATAAAAAAACATATACTCTGATACAGGATTTTCTCTGATACAGGATTTTTTTTGTCTGCCTCTAGGTCATGACACTGTAATGTTGATCAAACTCTTTTTGTAAACTTTTAAGGAATTAGTAGTAAATGTAAAACTTTGATGACAGTCAGACCAGCAAGTTCTTAATTCATCATGCACAATTTTTACACCTCTCAAAATGGAATACATTCATATCAGAAGAGGAAACAACACTAATTTCTCCACCAACAGCAGACCACAATGCTATACAAGGAATACTGTATTTTGTGTAAGGAGCATGGCTTTTACTCAGCTTCCACTCTGTATTGACATTGACTTGCTCTTAATTCAATATACACCCAATTGCAATGCATATTGAAATGGCGTTAGGTGATGTTGCGATCACAGTATATGAAATGCGTCTAAAACATAAGCACAAACCCATGGGTTCTGTGGAGTGTTGAGGCAGTGTAGGTGGGAAGATGGGAAGTAATGCATTAAACATGACGGACTGATTATATATAGCACTGTGAGAGTATTTCAGGAGTGGAATAGACCTTTAATGTGTGTGTTTGGCATGTGTGTGCCCTCCAGACATATTGTATAGGTGGTGATAATCTACGCAGTCTGGCAGAGAGGCTGCGTGCCGTTGCCCACACCCTCCAGATGGGCATCCAGGGCCGCTGGCGCCTCAATAGCTACGATGGACGCAGCACCACCAAGCTGCATGCTGGCATTCTGCAGGTTGTAGTGGAGCTCATCACCTCTGCCAAAGGACTCTTCTCTTTGCTCAACAGGTTTGTAAAGAGGCAGTTATCTAACTGTTATGTATACAGTACTTGAAGTTCTATTTTATTCTACAGCTATTTTACTCAGAAAATGTTCTCTTCTGTGTCTTGTAAAAAATAGTTCTGGCTGTATTTTTTGTTGCTATAGGTTTTATGTATAGAGGATGGCTTTGGGTTATGATTTGGCGTATGTGCTGACCTGCTGTTTACATGTTGTCCCCTGTTAAGAAAGCTGACACCTGTTCCTTAAAAGTTCACCCCTCTATTTGCTCTCTTTTTGTTTTCTCTTTGTGTGACTTTCTAATATCCTTATCCTTATTTGTATTTTTCCTTTTAATTAGCAGTGTGAAATGAAATCATTGTGCCCACTTGCAGTAAGTCCTTCTATTCTCTAGACTTATTTGAAATACAATCCGTGTCTTTCAAGGTATCAGTTTTTCCAGCACAGTGGATACTCCACCTGCAAGAACATATTCACGTACTGCAGAGAGCTGGGAGACATTGTCCACAAGGTTGGTCGATTTAAGGTTATTAATATAAATTCCATTTATACTGTTATATCTGTCCATTACATGGCTGCCCTTTGCAGCAAACATGTTTCTCTGTTTTGCAAATTGAATGGCTGGTTTAGTACACTTTGCTGCCCACATGTACATAAAAACATGAGGTGATTTCTCTTAAGAGGAAGCACACATGCATAAACCATGTTTCTCGTGCAAACTAAACTTCCAAAGAAGAACTACAACCTGTTGTGTGGTCGGCTATTTCTTTTTAAAATCAACCCCTAAAAAGCAGCAAGAAAAACAGACGCTCCCTGTTCCTTGGCCTAGCTTGAGTAATGCATTCTTTATCTTTACATTCCTGGCATATTTGGAGGCGGCTGTACCTTGAAGAAGTTTAGGAAGAAAGCACTGGCAGAGAAGCTGGCTGGATTTTGTTTGCGTTCACTCATTCATGATAGTTTGAAAAGAATATATTCAAATCAGGATGAATGTAAAGTGAGTGAACAGTGTTCACAGGTAGCAGATGGGACAGGCCTGGATATGTAGGAGTGCCTAGGGGAAGGGGGGGGGGGGAATTAGGGAGGGAGGGAATAATGGTAAGCATAGGGGAAGGCAGAGAAAGAAGGAGGAGACTGAGAGAGGGATTGCACCACAATGGGGGAGTGCATGTCGCTGAATGAAGAGCAGAGAGCAACAGGCAGTGAGACTATTAACTCTGAAAGGACGCTGTAGAGACATTAGAGATAAATAGCCCGACAGAAGTGAAGCAGAAAAGAAGAAGACAACAAGAAGCTACAGAAACAGTGGCAGAATGAGAGATAATTAGAGTGCGGTAAGGAGACAGTCAGAGGTGCAGAGAAGCTGTGGGTGAAAGAGGAGGCTCTGTATTTAGAGGAGTTTATATATAGCCATCTACAGCCAGCTCTGGACGCCTGCCTGGCACGACAGGTACAGTTCTCACCTCTTTGATAGGTTAATTCTCCACAAGGGGCTTTGCTTCTTTTGCACTTAGCCTGCTTAAAATGGCTCAAGTCTACATTTATATATATCACAAAGTGGATTTTTTGCTTGTTGGTTATAATTTAAAGTTGTGGGGGTGGCGATGTAACCGTGGATAAGATGCATACTTTTGGTGTGAGAGACCCGGGTTCAATTCCCGTGGCACATCCTCCAATGTGTCCCTGAGCAAGACACTTAACTCCTAGTTGCTCCAGAGGCGTGCAACCTCTGATATATATATATATTTATATATACATATAAAATTGTAAGATGCTTTGGATAAAAGCGTCAGCTAAATGAATAAATGTAATTTAAAATAATTTTCTGTAGATTTTTTTTGGAATTCTCCATTTTCTTGAAGGGGTTGATAATAATGTTAGAGATCATTCAAACGACATTTGAGATCTATTACTTCCCATTTTTCCATTATCTATACTAACCATATCAGGTTGTTCTGAACCAGATTTAGCAGTTTTACATGTTTAGCCATTCACAAGAGTTAGAACAGGCCTAAAGGACATTGAGACTGTGAGAGAAAAAAGAGTTGCATTCTTTGTGTTGGTGAATAGTAACAGTAACATTTTTCTTATGGAGCAGAGCGGAAGGAAGTATGGATTTCAGAGAGTGAATGAGCTTGTTGACTCTGATAGGATGTTTTTGTCCACTGTGAAGCGAATCTGATTTTGGCCTGTTGAATGTTGTTTTCATTCATGGCACTGAGTGACTGATTAGAAAGTCAAAGCCTCCTAGACAGCTTTTGTTGTTGGTCCCTCTCAGAGATTGATCATCGGTTGGTAATGTCTGGCCATTGTTTGCTCTATTCCTGTTTTTGAACTTTGTGCGTGCTTGTGTGTTTGTGCATGCAGGTGTTTTAAAGGTAAGAATCATTGTCCATATACTGAAAGCATTTTGTCTATTGAGTTCGGAGTCATGTGAATATGTTTTTGCTGGGCTCACTTGACAAACTGGCTTTTCAGTGAAGTGAAAACTGTCTGGCTCATATTTGGACTTCCAATGTGAGTGTATAAGTTTTCAATTACCACATACTATCTAGTTCTATTCACAAAACCACATTGGAAATGGACTGGTTTATTGCATTATCTATAAAACCTGCACTACCAAGCAAGAGCGGTGTAGTTATTAATTTTTAAAAAACTTGGCAGGTGAGCGTAAAGGTCAGATTTGGACTGTGGAGAAGCCCTTATACCTGTTGAACGGACAAGAGAAAATGAGAAATCTCAGACACGTGTTCAGGCTTCATGTGTCAGTTCAACTGTCATCATAGCATTATTAACCTGCATTGCTTTTTGCTTTGCTTTGTGGAGGAACACATTGATTTACACACTTGTAGCATCTGCTGTGCCACTGACTCACATATGCTCATGTATGTGTCCCTAGGCCACAGCAATCACATTAGCAGTGTAGCATTTACTAATGCGTTCATACAAACTAGCATGATCATCATGACTTTCTAAAATGTGGCCCTTGCTGTGGTCATGCTCCCCTGTGATGTTTGGCGTGGCTTTGTCATCCTTTTCTGGAGAACTGCTTCCACAGAAGCTGCACCACATCCTTCACACCAAAGAAAGGATTCTTTTTTTTCCTGTTTGTCTGGGGGTTGTGTTTAAGCGCTTGTGTGTTTCTTCTCGCACCCTGAGGGCGATCAAGGTCAGTAGTCACCTGGTGTTGTTGGGATCCCACACTGGAGTTGTCAAGTCAGAGTTTCGCAGTATAGCACATGCTCAGTCACCTTTGATCCAGCTGAGCTGCAGGCAAAGTCCAGGAGTGAGAGACGGGGAGTAAAAAAGAGCGATGTGTGAACAGTGAACTTGGACATGAGAGCAAAAATGGATATCGGAGCATTACATTAAGGTATGTGAGTTTAATAGTGATTCTACAAAACGAAATGGTGAACATTTCTGTCTGAAAGTTTTGTTAATTTCAAGCTATTTTAATGATTAACTTACATTTGAAATGACAAATATATGACTAGTTCTGGCATTGTGGTTATGTGCTTTTCTTCGACCGGACAGATAAAAAAAGCATATTGTATTGTAAGCAACAGAATAAGCAATAAGCAATGATAGACATATCTCTGCTATTGGAAGACTTATTTAAAAGATAGAGGAAATAATAACAGGCTTGAATATAGATAGGAGAGAATATCAAGGGTACTGTACCCAAAAATGAACCCTACAAATTTCAAAAAGGCATCACCTGTGTGAGCTGTCAGAAGTGGATGACTATAACTTATTATTTATGGTGCTGAAAAAAAGAGCACGAGAGAAATCCAATGCTGCTAGGAGTGGTCAAAGGCAAGGATGAAAACATGGACAGGAAGGGGAGAGGAAAAGGGGTCATAAGATTTGGATGGAATGTGTGGTGCAGATGTAAAAGAGATCTAACTTAGTGATGTCTCTCAGTCTTTTTATAGCAAGTCTGTGACCTGGTGGCAAATAGAAACCATCTACTGGTGAAGTTCAAGTATGTAAACATACACGCAGACAGAACAAGACGGGGCTTGACTTGACAAGGCTTTTGATTTGTAAGGCTTTAATATATTGTATTTCTGTATGAAGTTGCAGATGACAACAAAAAGAAAGGAAAAGGCAGGAAATGTTCCTTTTAATTTGTTTTTATTCCAGCCTTTTTGTAAATGTGTGTCCATGCATGCCTGTGTTCATTCTTGTTGACTGCTTTTTTTCAGAATGTTACAACCACATGATAGGTTGTCTTTGTGTCCTAGACAACTATAGAGAGAACAGCTTTCAAACACAGAGTGCTGCTGTAAAGTTAGCTCACCGCCTGATCAAGCCACACACCAAGACCTTTCTTCGTAACCAAGTGAAGTAGATGCATGTTACAGTGCAGCGGAAGGCAATAAAATGAATGCTTTTCATCTTTAATGGCAAAGCTACAAATCACTGTTGCTAATATGTAACTACCATAACTATCATGAAGTGGAATGAAAGGTCAATCTTGAGTGTCTGTCTGTAGCTTGAACTTTTGTGCTGTTGCTGTGCTGTTTGCTGTTGCAAAACGTTCCATACAACGAAATTATTGTTTTTTCTTGATGCTACTGTGAGAATTGGTAGTTACTGTATGAGGGGCATCGTTTGGTACCACACTTGTTTGTGTCAGTAAAAGGCCAGAGCTGCATGTGTTTGAATGTTATGTTCTGTTTTAGTTGATGGAGAACTGAAAGTGGTTCATCTTTACAGTAACTGTACTGTTTGATGTGACAGATTAGAAATATTGTGTTGCAAAACTTGATGGGTTCCTTTAAAGATAGTAGCAGTTGCTTCCAAGTGACGCATTTTAGTTAATGTCTTATTGAGAGAGAAATCAATAGAAGGGCATGTGGGTGGAGCGTGAATGCTGCTCCTCTCCCCTCTCCTCTCCCCTGCTCTCCTCTCCTTGCGTCTCCTCTTCCTTTTCCTACTCATGTGTCTGCCTTTGCAATAAAACACTGTGGCGTCATCAATGGCATCATATGCTTCATAAGTATCACATGCTTTGTGTCTTCAAATAAATTGTATATGTACGTAACTTTAAACCTGATGCCAATGTGGTTATTTTGTGAGTACAATATATTTTTTTCATACTTGGATATTTTGGACATTCTTGATCTTTGTGAAATAGTCAATTCAGGTACAAAAATTCAGAATGTATGCTTGTGTTTGTGGTTGCAGGCATATGGATACAATGTCTCTTTGTGTCTAGTAGTCATCCTCACTGAGGAACCAGCACTGAGAAGTGTGGGTTTGTGCTCTGTGTTTTTTTCCACCACGCCCTCCTGACGTTACATCAGTTTCAGGGCAGAAGTGTACCTGTCACCTAACTCACACATATGTGTATCATTTCCTGTTTTGGCAGAGTTGAGAAGAAATATAGAACAGGTTGCACTGTTGTGGGGGAGCCTCCAGTGATTATAACTTGGCCTCCAAATACAACAGAAAGCAGATTTGTGGATATTGGTGTATTTTTACCTTATGTTAAAAAGCAATGGTGCGATGCTGGATAAAAAAAGAGGTGTTACTAATGAAGCGAAGGCAGAAGTGATGGTGTGTGGTAGGATGTGGCAACAAGATTTAAATCTCAGCTACTATTACTACTACTTCCACTACTAGTTCACACTTACAGCATGGATTTGGCCAATTTATAGGAGAGTTTCTGTCCTGGGTTTAAACCATTGTTTTAGCATTTGTAACACTTGTGAATCATGTCTGTATCTAGCTTACCCTTGCAGTCTTACCTTGCTTTACATCAGTTAAACAACATTGATTGTTATTAACCATGCTAGTGGCATGGCTCTGGGGTTAGCAGTTGCTCTGTTTGTCAGTCAGTCCACCACTTTGGTCCAGATATGGACTATTGGAGGGATTGCCATAATATTTTCTACAGACATTCATGGTCCCTAGAGGATGAAGCCCGCTGACTTTGATGATCCTTTGACTTTTCCTCCAGCCACCATTAGGTTTACATATGCAGTTTTCACTTAAATGTATCAACAACCATTAGATTGGATTGCTACAATATTGCTACAGCCATTTTGAAGCACTGTGAATTTTTTAATTTGTCCAACCCTTTGGTTTATGACCAGGTGTAGCCTACTTTGTGTTTAGTGCTAATTAGCAAATGTTAATATGCTAACACACTAAACTAAGATGGTGACTATGGTAAACATTAAATCCCTAAATATCAACATGTTAGCGTTGTTATAGTGATGTTACCATGCTGATGGTAGCTCAAAGCATCACTGTGACTTAGTACAGCCTCACAGAGCTGTTGGCATGGCTGTACTCTTAGTCTTGTTTTAAAACGCTTTCTTGTGATTGCTTTAAGTTACGTATTTGTATGCTTTATTCTGTTGCGAATAAAGCCCTGACTAGCTAACTAACTACCTAACTAACTTAGTCACTTTACAGCCAATGTGTCATGGCAAGACTAATTTGCTCAAGTAGGGATCAAGATAAAGATCGGAACATCTTTGAGTGTTTATACACAACCTTTAGTGGTTTGTTGTGGTATAAATGAACATATTGCAGGTTCTGCCTCTCTTAAGTATACACAGTCAAATGCCTGAGTGGAATAACAACACAAACTCAAACAAACACAAGGCAGACAAGTTGAACTGACCAACAATCATGACAGCAACCTCTCCCAGTCGTACCCCTCCCCACAGCCTTGTGTCATAGCCTTTAATTAGCACAGAAATCCAACTGTGTTCCTGTTGATCCCTTGTTACATTTCAAAGGGCTTAGTTTCCCCTTAGAATCCTTTATGTAACTTATCACATGATCAAGCCTTGCAAATTAGCTTAGGCAGTAATGGTATGTGGCATCTATTCAATAAATATCCTATGCTGGGTAAACATCTATCCTCTCTTTTAACCTTTCATCATCCTCCTTCATTCAAAGCCTCCCCCTCACTTCTCCAGCTCCCAGGCCAAATTATAGTAATGCCTCTAGGAGCATTGTCAACACCTTCCTCCCAACTGTAACTGTGACATTGACCACAGCAGAGAAGGTGAGAAGGTGAACTACTCGAGTTGACGAAGTTACGTTACACGCTGAAATACAACCGTGGTGTTTTGTCAGGACATGCAGTGACTGAGACCAGCGGTGAGAAAACTATAAATCGCTATGACATTAGAAGGTTACAAGCACCGATCAGGTAAAGCCACACTGAACACACCTTTTAGGGAGGAACGAGCGCCTCAGCTGTAAAGGAAAGAGATTTCTGGATTTATAAAACAAAACGAGAGCCGTTGTGACACAGCACCCGGCGCTATTATCGTTTTATCCTAATTAACTTGTTTTTATAATTGGTGGAAGCAGCTTCACGCAACAGCTGCGGCAGTCTCTCTACACTGTTTCGACCTGACCTTTCTTTTCTCTGTGAGATGGAGGAATTTAGCAAGTTGTGTGGCGCTGCATCAGGGCCCAAGCTGTTGTGCATGATTTATGCGTAAAATTCATCCAGCCAGAGGGTCCAATCACACAGACTCTGTGGACTTTCGGAGTGAGTCTGGGGTCATGTAAACTTGGTTAATATGTCTTTGTAGCAGGTGGGTCAACAATGAAGCTCCCCACTGTGCTGACAGTCTAGCTCCGCCCCCGGTGTGAACCTTTAGATTAAGTGGACATTACACACCAGTAAAGGGATTGCCCGCTTGCTAGAAGAACATGTGTTATGTTTTATATCTTTCTAGATTTTTTTAGATATATAAGTGAAAGTACTGCTACAATAAAAGCGAGTAAAATACCAGTAAAGGTCTGGAGTGATGCCCCTCTTGCCTCTGGATACCTTTGGCCTTTCACTTCCTGACTCATGCTGTGAAGAGGAAATAGGACATGAGATTTGAATCAGATTGTCCCATTTCCACAAATCAATCAATCAGCATTACATATGCAGCTGTGCTTAGCGTCATGTTGGTGCTCTGTTTTGTGAAACTTTTTAGATGGAACTCACAGAACTCGGGTTCTATTTTTGCTTTTAATCCTGAGTTGTTCTTATTGTTTTATTAAACCCGAAAATTTTAATAAAATAAAATAATAATACATGCCATGTTGTTTCACTCATCCAACAGGATACCACAGTCTATGAAAAGGAAAAGGACATCATCTCTGTGGTAAGTGTGCTAAGTATTAATATATTTTTCCATTTGAGTTGTTTTTCCTTTTTATTTTATTAATCACTGAATGAGATATGGTTTGTTTAATCCTCTAGTGCCGTCAGTTGTTGGTGGTGTGTGATGAGATCCTGAATTCCAGCCCTGAGCCACTTCTTACCCACACCGCTCAGCTTGAGAGTGTCGACCTGGTGCCTGTGTCTCCTGGGGATCAGCTGGTAAAGATTTCTGCCTCTTAATAACTCATTTGCCATTATTAAATGTAGAAAGCAATGTGAATTATTTTTTCTGTTGACACAAAAGCTTTGAATAAGAGTGATAGGAAAATGTTTTAGAAACTATAAACCAACATCAAGATTAAAGGGTAACTTTGGTATTTTCAACCTGGACCCTACTAATACTAATTTGCTTGTTTTTGCCACTGTCAGGTTCAGATTGTTATTATAGGTGTCTGACAACTTTGTTGAAAGGATCCCTACAGAGATAGATAATTTTTCTTTAAAGTACAGCCTTTTTGTTTAACCACAAACAATCACTATATCACTCTCGTCAAAGCTACCAGAGTCCATTAACAAAAAAAGTAATTTTACCTAGCAGAACTTTTAAAGGATTAAAAACACAAATGTCACATTGTAACTTAAACTAACCAATTGAGGTAACGGTAGGACCTCGCTCAAAACTGGACCAATTAAAAACATTTTGTCCCAATTAGTCACATCACATCATTAGACACAAAAAATGGGAAAATAAGGTCCAGGTTGAAAATTTCAAAGTTAGCCTTTAAGTGTTTCTTTCATTCAGTTATTGTTCACTTCATACAGTGTATGCCATCCGCCCTGTTTAATCATCATCAGCTCTTTCTGAAGAGTTCTGCTTCTTCTTTACTTTCCTGGCCACATCTGAATTTTTTTTTTTTATCATCTTACCATCTCATTATTACCATTGTTTTAAAACTTTATCATCGTTTTATCATCATCAGTTTCCTGACAATAAACTCTTATTCTGTGTCTTATTTCCTTTTCAGTATTTATTTTCTGCCTTCGTCATTTGCCTGGAGTTTTCCATCATCATTTGGTTCCACTCATCACTTCTTTCATCTTACTCAAGGTTCTTCCTGTCCAGTTCTAATCTTTTCATTCTCTCCAAAAACTTGTCTCACGTCTAGTTGTTCATAAACAGCTTTCTGTTCCTGCCTGTTCTCTTCCATTAATGTCTTAGCCTTCAGTTGGCACATTGAATACAACAATTATAGCTCTCTTCTTTGCCTGTACGTACATCATCTAGTGTCCTTTTCATTTATTTCTTAGGAGTGATTTTGTTTAAATGTTCCCCCTTTGTGTACTCAGCCCATTAGGTAAAAATCTCTCATGTTGGAAGAGCAGTCCCGTTTCCTTGTCAGCTTGTCCCCAGACAAGGGTTGTGTTGTTTCCATGGACACCTAATTGTGTTTGTCCCTAGGGTGTAAAGGGAGTGGGATTAGCTAAACTCTTTGGGGGTAATTCCTCACAATTTTCTACAGTGGAACAGGATAATTTTTACAAATGTCCTCCACAACTAGCAACAAAGCCTGATTATCCTCGGCTGACAGAGAGAAATTGATTGGAGCGCATCACCAATAATGAGGTCTGCCTTCTAAATAAGTAATGGGAACTAAAGACAGAAAGAAAGGGAAGTGAGCGGCAGGAATAATTATAATTCACATGCACCGAATGTACGTGACATAAACACATGCTCAATTCATCAAGTAAATGTGAATCTAAAAGTAAAAGCTAGCTTTTTCCTCTTTCATATCCCTCAAATTTAAATTTATTCTGGTCACAAACGAGAAGGTGGCGATAAAGAGAAGATATGCAAAATAATCTTTTAGGCTGTCTAAATGCATGATTTGTACATGCAGTTTAAATCACAGGAAGTGATGGTTTTTATGTTTTCATGATTTTCATAAAAGCCTTTTGTTTGGTCTTAAAAGAAAAATAACCGGGTTGTTAGCATAAGTGATGAATAGCTTACTACATTATATGGTTGTGAAGTTATGTCTAGGAATTGTAGTGACAAAACCCTGCAGAGCATTGCCAAAGATGTCAAAAATGCAATAAAAAGTATAATTACCATATTTACACCTTACATTAATGCCCTATTTAGCATTTTAAGCTCTAAATACATTTAGATAATTGGTTATAATTCACTATAATGTAGTTGTACCAGCTATAAGGATGTATTGATCATGTGATCTGGGCTTTCTGGGGTGTGATTAGTTGGCTCTGCCCATGCCCCATTATGACTTAAAATAATCGATCAAGGCAGGCTGACTGGTAACTACAGGCTGAACCATCAATACATCTGGAGACAGACATCAATATCTCCACAGACTCCAACAGTGATGACAGTAACAAGATAGTGCTATGTTTGAGTCCATTATGGTGAATCATTTTGTCTCACTGAAAATGTGCTACAGGTTTATCAGTCTGATATGTGTCAGTCTGAGTGTGTCTAACACGTTGTTTCTCTCTCTCTCTCTTAGGGGATTGAGATAACGTCCACTGGCTCCAGTAACCACTACGTGACCGGAACTGCTGCTGAGGTCAGACTCTGTCATTTCTTTTCCTGCTTTCACTGTTGACTCAGCCCAAAAACCACACAGGGTTAACTATCCCTGCCATTTCAGTGCTGTTGACCAATCCTCTGAAGAGCAGCGTGACTGAAACCTCTGCCCCTCTTGAATTTCAGACCAAAAGGTTAACTTCATCTACAGTTTGTCTCCATGCAAGAGCCCCGTGAAAAGAGCGTTACATCCAAAAGTGCCTTTTAATATTTCATTTCTTTACCGCTTCTGTCTCTGACATGTTAGGAGTGTAACAGGCAACAAGCTGTGACTCTGTGACTCTTGTCTGTCACATAATATAACACATATATAACACTTTTACACTGATTTTTTGCTTTTCCTATTGGAAGGTTTAGATCTGCTGAACACATATATTGCTCTTGTCTCTCTGAGTGTCTCATCTAGATTGAATTGGAAGTATATTCTCATTTGCAAAGAGCAAAAATAACAAAGAAGAATGGTTCAGTTTTCTTTTTTGTTTTTCTTTTAAAAAAAAACAACTCTGCCATGTTTTTTCTATGTTCTTCTATGTCGTTTAGTGTTTGCTTTCAGTGGCGGGAGAATCGGTTAACAATGATGTCTTTTTCTATGACTTCTGCACAGCTGAAGTTTAAAATTTTAATTTATATTAATTAATTATGGAAGCATGAGCTCTGGACATGGCAGAAATCCCCCTGGAAGTGCTTTTGTGTGACACAGTATTTTTAGCTGTTGGCTTATCTTTTTTTATTGCTTCACTGCCTTGAAATTGAAACCAAACAGAGTCCATGTGCTGCCATACTTTGTATTTATAAATATCTACTCCAGGCTGTTGACCGAAAACTTCTTGTAAACAGATCAGTACATGACACATCATGGCTAAAAATGTATATGTATGTATTATGTATGTTTTATTTGCAATTGTCGTGTGCCATGTTTTTTAAAATTATAATTAAGAAGGTATTTGTCCATTTTCCTTTACATATATAGCGTACATATTTTTCTGTAAATTTGAGATAAAATGCACAACAGTATACTCTTCTTTCTTGTTTTCATCCATTTATAAGCCATATGTGACAATCAGACTGGTTAAACTGGACAGAACCACAGGGAAATCTCATTCCTAGGATTTATTCAATTAAAAGTAGTGAAATGCCTTAGTATGTTGATTTTGTCAACTTTACTTTCAATAGATTTGGCTTTTTTGGAAAACAAAATCCCATTGAAGGAGCAGAGATGGATGATTTTCTGAGAAAGCCAAAGATCACTTGGATCAGGGGACTTATAAATAAACTTGGCAGCGATAGAGGAGTGTTTATCAACTAGCTTGTAAAGCGGACTTTTAAAATTAGTGCATCGGAAGGTCTCCTGTGGGACTGAAAGATGGAGATGTTATTTCTCCATGATGTCAACAACAAAGTATCCTTGACTCCCCTGCTACTGCAGTTACATCACTATGGCTGACTGCTAATAAGAGCGTGACCACTGCCCACAAACACACACACACACACACACACACACACACACACACACACAGTACAGCACAGCCTGTGTGCAGGAGCTTTGTACTGCCTTGCACAAAGAAATCTCCCATATATTTATAAAAATCAACCTGGGTACTAGTCTTTTGACCTGGGTTCCTGTAATGTCTCCACAAGGTTGTCACTTTTATACCACATTTCCTCAGGAATTTTACAAGTCAGATTTTGCCCTACCATGGTGGGTGTTTCTTTTAACACAAGTTGTATTGAGTGATTTTAGAAAAGGATTTTCACAAGTGTGATGAAGTTTTCTTGATTTGTGAGGTATTTAATTCACTGCATAACCCAAAAATCGACATTTACATCATGTTATTTCCAGTTAGTTTACCTATTTGATTTTTTTTTCCAGAAAATGTACTTTGTGCAAGTTGCCCACTACAACATCAATTTAATTATTTATTTTATCGGTAAAAGACACTTTGTTTGTCAAATATGATAAACTGCCAGATCATAGGAATAACTACTAATGTAATGTAATTTAAATTTTTTAATTAAAATTAAAAGCTGTAGTACTAAAACCCTGAATCTCAACTTGCTAACTCTTTTCAAGTCACAGTGGATAATAGCATCATTTGTCCCTAAATTTAGTTAGTCTGAACAATGTTCACCTGGGTTTTATTTATTACCAGTTCTTATTTATGTTTGTATCTCCTTTTCTAGCCTTTGGCTGATGCCAGTGTGAAGATCTTGGCTGGTGATGAAGTGATTCAAGTCAACGACCAGATAGTGGTGTGTGTTACAGTATATACATACTATGTGTACACAAGCCTGTGTGTATGTTGCACTGTATATATGTGGTCCTCAGTCTTTGGCTTTATGGCAGTATTGCTCCAAAGTAACTAAGACAATCCTCTGTACATTTACTGTTCCTGCAAAGTGTTTCAGTTTCTGAAACAATAACCGATTATCTGTTTTGCTGCGTCAGGTGGGCTGGAGCAAAGCTAACCTTGTGAAGAAGTTGCGGGAAAATCCCAGTGGAGTGACTTTGGTCCTGAAGAAGATTCCTGGATCAGTGCGACGCAGAGAGCCAGTCCAGATCTCCTACACACAGGTGAGGGATTATTAAAGTCTTCCTCTACTCACCTCCTCACTCCATCAACTGTGTCAACTTCAACAACAAATGAAAAATTTGAATATACTGTATACACATTTCAGATTTACAAAGAAAACTGTCTGCACATGACTTGACTTGCTGCCAAGAAGCTAGCTGCTTTCCACTGTGGACACTCAATAAGCTTTTGACCTGCAAAAATCTGTGCACATCATCACTGTATACCAGTATACCAAGTAACACCTGATAGGCCCACACAGGGCTTGTACTTTGCCTCAGAAGCTTGTGGGCTTCAGAGCTTAATTTGGAAACTATTTAATTGTTTGTGAAGACATTAGAAGAAACCCCAAGCCAACAGCGTTATTGTTGCACACATGCAATTTTGATCTTCTAACTCTTAGTCTCAGTTTAGGATAATTACATCCAGGGGTGAAACATCAAATCATCCTTTTACACATGGGAACTTGACAAGAATCCCCTCTTCGATTTCTGTTTAACATCACTTGGGATCCGTTTCCATAAACACTTACAATCTCCCAGTAGTTGCTATGCCGACTATTGTTTGTCTTTGAACTGCACAATAAATTATCAAGACAAGCACACACACTCTGTGGCTTTCACACCCAGTTGTGACCATTACCATGTTGATCTCAGAGCTGTGAACCAGCTGTTGGAATCGTGTCCTTTTCAAACCTCTTTTTAGCAGGAGTCTCCCAGACTGTGTGTGTGTGTGTGGGGGGGGGGGGGTTGCCTGTGTTGTTGTTGTCTAATCTCCTAAACCATATAGAGAGTGCAGATGGAGATGAGAATGCTCTCATTACAATCCAAATGACATCCGCCTTCTAACCCCTCCACTGACCCACTCAATAACACACACACACACACACACACAGACACACAAAGTTCAGTGTGCACACTCACATCCTTTTATTTCTGACTCTTTTCAGGAGGAGGAAAAAAAAGAAGAGAGGTTAGAGGAAGAAGAGGAGAAGGACAACGAAGGGAATCCAAGGTCCTCCATATTTGATAGGGTTGCAGCTTCTGTCAGGTCCCTGTCTTTTAGGTGAGAACTTTGTCTCTATTAATTAGCTGTTCCTTTTTTTAATTGTGGGTGTATTTGGTCATTGTGGGCAATACTGTTTTTTTGCATCAATATATCTATCTGTCTAATCTGTATTCTATAGGAAGATATATTGAAATTGTGATGTGAAGTTACATATACAGTGATACATGATTACTGTATATTATCAAACTTCGCAAAAGAACATTTCCAAACGTATAAATCCTTTAGAAGAAACCCCAGCATTATTGCTACACACAGTTTAAGCCAAAGGATCCTGAACCTTCCCTTTACAAGAATTCCCTCTTCTCTGACGTTTAGGTGAGAGTGTAAATGAACTTTCATGCTAAATTAGTTTTATTTTTTAAATAATATCATTCTTGCTCATCCAGCAAAATACATTTATCTACCATAATTACAAATAAATGTGTGTAAATGAAAGGTACCGTGAGGTATTTTCTTCTGTGAGTCCCCATTTTTGTGCACATGTGCACAAGTGACATGATGCACATTCCTGCCAATGGTTCCACTCACCAACAGGTGGCAGTAATGTACCAAGAAATGTAGTTGCAGGTTGAAGACTATTCCTTATAAGAAGATCCTCTGCACTTGCATCTCCCATCTCAAATACATTCGGGTTTTTGATATGAAAAGTAAATGTTTTAATTTCCCAACTAACCAATAAAAAAAGATTAGCTGACCTGTCGGAACTTGCAACTGTTCTCCTGTCAGCTAGAAGTATGATAGCTCTTTGTCTCAGAGCAGGTTGGACCTAAGTTCGGTTCACTAAACGACCTACTAACTACTACTAAGTATTTACTCAATAGAGCTGAACCTCCCATGAACTATTTTGACCTTGTTAATCTGCCAGGACCTGGTAGGTTTGCGATGAGGTCACACTTTAAATGCCACAAATTCCACTATGCACACCCACAACCCATGACTGACTGGAAATGAGGGAAAGGAGATGAGGAGGAAGATGAATAGATGGAGGGAGTTTTCAAGAAATGAAGAAAGATACCAACATGGGGAAAAAAAACAAGATATTATAATCCTGTCATATCCTGATACACTACAACATTTTTAAAGGAAAAAGAAAATATAAACTTACAACTACTAGCATATAGAGGCATATTTCACATCTTTAGAAGACAAAACAAGTTTACACAGTTACATTTCATAGCAGTACGTCTTTTTGTGAAAGACCTTGTCGCCACTTCTGTTTGCTTACTGTTGGTTGGCATGTAAATGAAATGCTTTTTAGCAGCTGGATCTCAAACCTCAGACTTTACAGCCTCTCAGAAGCATCTGAATGCATCCTCAGTGAGTTGTTTTAATTGGTGTTGTGATCAGTTTGTTTGTGTTTTCCATTACAGAAGGGCCGTTCAAGAGACAGGGGTACATGAACAGCCTATGGGGCAGGAGGAATCAGACTTGCCCTCTGACAAGGAGCTGGAGGGGACTCTGACTCTCACTTCATATCAAAACCAACTGTCCCCTCTGTCAGCCTCAGGTAAGAAAACACAGAGGGAACTTGGCAAGATGTTGTCTTTCTTCCTCAATATGTTGAAACTTTGAAAGTATCTTGTTTCAGGTTTTTAAGCACGATATTGGATTGAAAATAAAGCAGAGTGGGTTTTGCAGAGACAGATGGTTTTTGTTAAAGAGATATGAAAGAATAACTACAACTTAAGCCCTCCAAATATATTTTTTGAGAAGAAATGTTAAAAATTCTCATTAATGTAAAGAAGAAAATCCTTTATACCCTGTCTGCAGGTAATAATAACAAAGCCTTAATTACATTTGCTACACTAAGGCATTTTGAAATAGACCTATCGCCCTGAGATAGTAAGCAGTGTCTATTTTTATTATCTTTCCATAACCTGTGTAGGAAAGGAATCTTCAGTGCTTTAGCCTCAGATTGTGAGCCTGATCCTCTACTTTATTCACTTGTTTGTCTTTATTAAAAGAACAAATTTTTGGGGGTGGAAATGTTGGTTTTCATTTTGCCCTGACATTAAAAGGATTTCAAACTGTGACATCACACAAATGAGATGTCAACAAATCACAAAGGTCTCTCCTAATGGAAAACTAGTCAGAGTAATTGTTAGTGTAATGGATTTATTAGCACTTGTACCATGCATACCGATTAGATTTGTCGCCTGGATACAGTGAAAGAGACTGAAAAGAGTATTAAATGGAGATTACTGGCTGTGGACCCCACAAATTCAGTGTAAATAGAAATTGTTTTACTGGCACTTGACTGTCAACACAAATGCTAGAATTTGCAGTTGTGATTATGTCCAGGCACACTGCTGGGTCATGCAGGATGTTCACATTCATGTGTGTTTCTCAGGGGAGTTTGAGAGTTTGAGACCAGACCAGTTGTCATCACCCAGAAGTTCTTCTCCGTTCAGATTTGGGTCATTCAGAAGTCCTTCGCCTCAGAGACTGAAACGGGAAACATCTAGCATAAGTTCCTGCCCTGAAATGGTGGGACACACGGTGAGCGAGAAAAGAAAGATTTTCTACCAGACATGTTGAATATTTTGTACCCTACATTTCCAACACTGAACTCCTTCGCCTTTCAGGGAAATAAGGACAGAGAGAAGGGCTCTACAAAAGGTAAAATGTTTACTGTAATACTATAAATATGTATGAATATAAGCAAAATACTCCACTGCAAAGCTGTAATCGAGGCTATCTTCATGTTAAGTCAATGGCAAAACCAGGTTGTACTGAATAGACGAGAGAGCCCATAAACACAAACATAATAAACATGCCCACTGTTTCTAGGAAATGTTTCCTAAAGATTAACAGATCTATCTGTAGGACTTAACATGGAACTAGTTAATAATGCACTTAATTCAAGTCATTGCAAGTTAGAGTGTTTATCCTTAGAAAATGTTTAGATGGTCAGGATAAAGTGAAGCTAATGTCCAAAGGTGAAAAAGAAAAGCCCTCAGCATCGTTTATGACTCATACCAGAATCAAACGCTACATCGTGTGCGTCAGACTGATTGCTTTTACTACTTTTCTTCTTCATCCTCAAAGGAACATCGACAGCTATGAGTCGGCGTCGCGTGTCCTGCCGTGAGCTGGGTCGACCCGACTGCGATGGCTGGCTGTGGAAGAAGAGAAAGGACAGCAGCGTCTTCATGGCCCAGAAGTGGCAGCGCTTCTGGTTTGTCCTCAAAGGGCCCTCCCTGTACTGGTACACCAGCCAACAGGTGGGAATATACAGCCATTAATAAAAAAAAAAAAACATTTAATCTCTCCAGAACCAAAAGAATGACATAATATCACTGAAACACCCAGCCTCAAAGATGGTTTCATTACTGTTTTATAACTTATGTGTAGTATGTGTTTTAATATAGTACTGTGAGACTTTTATTATGTGCTAACATCCATTTTCTTTGAGTAGAGTCAGAAGTATTTAAATATTCATTTTGCATTGAATGTGCTTTTATTTCTTTCCTCAATCTTATTTAACTTTATTAAAATATGTTTGTATTTGTTTTTTCCTCAGGATGAGAAGGCAGAGGGTTTTGTCAACATCGCCAGCTATAGCATAGAGAGTGCTGGAGAGCACAAGAGAAAATAGTAAGCATTCAAATTGAATTAAAAATAAATCCTTTTTTTTTTTTTTTTTTTTTTTTTAGCATTTGAAACTTTTAGACTTAACTGGGTAGCTTGAAACAGTAGATTTATTGTCTCTGTGCACAGTGGATGATCTGTCTTATGTACGGGTTGCAGGAAACTGCAAAAAAAAAAAAGCCCTTTTCTCTCTATTTTAAAAAATAAACTGTTATAGGAAAAGCGCCTGTTGTATCTTATGAATTCATGGAATCTCTACTAACAAAATTATTTATTTTGCATCTGTGTATGTATATTCTCTCTCTCTCTCCACAAGTGTGTTTAAAATGTTCCACCAGCGATTTCAGAACTTCTTCTTTGCTGCTGACAATGTCACTGACATGAGCAAGTAAGTTGGACTGATTACAGACTAAGGCCTTGTTCAGCCTGTCTATGTTCTCTTTCTTTCTCTTTCCCCAGAACCTAAACTGATGGACTAAGACAGTTCAATAATGTTTAACCTCCAGTGCTACATTTCATACATAAATGACCAGTTCTAAAATGCACATGTTTGAAGAAAGACTTCATTAATTCATTTTTTTTGAAAGGATAAGCAGTTAGAGGCATTTAATCATACTCAGGATTGGTCTGCACTGCCCCCTACAGATGGCTTTTCAGGATTCTGTTTGACACAATGATGACTTTTGTTGAAAGTCAAAGCTGTAGTAGCCTAATCCTAAACATTTCTAAACAAAAATCGTATTTACTTTATTTGAGTTTACACGGCTTGTTATATTTATTCTGCAGGTGGATCAACTGTCTGATTTCAGCCATACAGAAGCATAAGAAGCTCCACAAAGGCCCAGATAGCGAAGAAGGTGGGGAAACATTCTCCTTATCTTTGTAATATATATTTGTATCATAATCACTAAAATTGATGCATTTGAATATGCATTTAGTTGTCTTCCTCACCCAAAATGTCTTATATAATCTATTTCACTTAACTTGCAGTTTTGGGGTACATTAATAAAATTGACTTAACTTGACAGCACAAATTCCATTCTTTATTAAGAGAATAACATTGCATGATGAGGTGTCCTGGAATAACGAAATAATGGGAAAGATTGTAGAGCTTCTTCCTCCAAGTCCTTTAGAAAACCTAACTGATCACAAGGTTGTTCATAAGAGGGGGAAAAATAACTACGGTCATCTGTTTTTTTAAAGATTGATTAAAGATTAATTCATGGTTATGATAATTTCACCAGATAGAGCCAATTGGTAACAAAGGATGAAGCTTAATTGCTGTTGCTATGGTTACCTGCAATTTATTATATCCCAGCAAGTCCTGCCACCCAGTTACATATCATCAAAAACGTCAGATGTGCTTCTCATTTTTATCTGTGTACCAAATGTTTTTTAATATACTATGATATGATGTGTTATGGTAATTTCATGAGTTTGACAACCTGTGTTTGTTTGTGAACAGAATGTTACAGCGAGACAGAATCAGAAAGCGAGATGTCACCTTCACCCCGCAGAAGAATCAAGGTCAGTACAGTTGGAGGTTTACACATGGGTGAACACGCAGCACACACACACACACACACATACACCATTTGGAGTACCAGTGGGATTAGTTTGTGTCTCATTATGTGTCATAGAAAGTGCAGTCCAACACTCTGCCTCGCCCCAAGGGGAAGACGAACAAGGTGCCATTACCGAGTCCTGTGACAGGGGGCAGCAAAGGAACAGGTTTGCACTGTATAACTCTGTCTCCACTCACTTCTTGCCTTCTTTGCTGCTTTCTTATTTTCTTTCTCAGTAAATAATTTATTTAGTCTGTGAAGACTCTGATAGATGTTTTAATAATTTGTGATTGGAAAAGTCATCCTAACCACGACATGTTGATTTCTTGGCTTTATCTTTTGGATATTTTGCACTGCCAAGTGTCGACAAATGGAGGGTTCACAACAGCTTCATTGTCAACCAAACCCTGGTTGAGAAACTGCTCTGTTTTGTATTTAATTCCATCTCTTTCATGTCTGTCCCTCCATCTTTACTTGCTCTTACTGTGCTTCCCTGTCTGTGTCTTGGTCCCTGTGAGAAGCCGGAGCTGTAGATGAGATGGGCATGATGTTAAACAACATAAAGGAAGGCGGGGTTTCTCTGATCGGTCACGAGCAGCCGAGTACTCACGACCACTTCAGGAAATCGTTCATTCGACGCAACAAGAACCCGATCATCAATGAGAAGGCGCACACGCTCCGGGCCTTGCAGAGCACTCTTAAGGTGAGCAGAAAAGTCATCCAGCTCATGGCTCAGGTTCAGCACAAGTCAACTACCTTCAATCTGCTAAATTTGTTGACTTCAGTAATTAATAGACAAATACAATTAATTTAGCATTGACCAATTAGAAATATTAATATTAAACATAATAATGCATTACATTCGTGTTTTCACAGATATTCAAAGCGCCTCTGGGGGCTCATCTCAATCACCCACAATCACTGTAGCATTTAATCAGTTCTTGAGTTACAAAATCCTATATTTTCTTGCTTTTGACTAAATTTTGCAACTTTAAACAACTGTGAAGTTATCAGGTTTAGATCAGGGTCATGTCTCTTGAGTTCAGCAAGTTCTACAAAGAAGAAAAATGTTTACCTATGAAACGGTCACACCTCTTAGTACGTTTTTTAATTTGATTCAAGGATATAATAATGAACCAAAATGAAATAACTCTTGTAGAGCAAGATTGTTCTCAGTAAGTTAGAGTCAGACAGATTCAAATTTGAGCGCATTTGCATGGTCGCTGAAACCCCTTTTACTCTTACTTAGGCCAAAGAGACAGAGCTGCTGCAGATCAACAAGATCTTAGAGGACTCTGATCTGACACCTTCAAAGTATCGTCAGTGGAAGGAGCACAACGAGGAACTAGTTCAAGAAATCGACAGGCTGGCCGCGCTCAAGGCCTCCAAAGGAGGGGACAACGCGGTAGTGCAGGACACGCCTACTGAGCAGGTTACCTTGGAAACTGTCGCTAAGGAGACAGCCACTGCAGACACAGAAGGCGCATACAGACTCAGACTCAGTGACGGCGAGCAGTTAGTGGATGCAGAGCTGTCTGATGTTTTCCTGGAGATCCCACAGGGCTCTCTGAGCACAGAAACCAGTCCGGTGTTAGAACTCTCTCTAGGATCGCTGCAAGACTCAATAAATAAACAGCTGAGTGAAATGGTGGAGAGCGGAGAAGCGGCCGAGAACTACTTCTACATTTAAGACCCCGCTGGAACATTCACGTCACTGGAAAGTTGTTCAATAGAATCAGACAAATGGAAGATGGGTTGCCATGCAGCCGTGTGAGAGAGGTGCATTTCATCTTGTCCTCTGCTGACATTCGCCCGAAAGGGTTAGCTAAATTGGCCATTAAATCAGCACTTTAATCAAGTACGTGAGTGAAATACATCAGTGTAGACTTGACTTGTAAATTCAGACCTAGACTTGCACACAACAAACAAAACAAAAGTGTACAACAGAGAAAAGAACAATTTCCTAAGTGTCAATCAGAGCTCAGTATGTATGTGTCTTGTTCTTCTAATAATAAAAACTGGAACTTTTCAATGTATTATAAGTCATGCCTTTTGTAATGTGATATGTAAATACAGTCAATATAAGTTGTTTATTGACATTACCTTAATAAAGGTATACATTTTGAATATTTTGTACATAATCTGCTGCAGAAACACTGTTCTAGCTCCTTGTTGGTCGAAGAGATTTGTGTTTTGTTGTTATTTTTTTTTTATCCTTCTTGGCCCTGTGGAGAACATTGTACTACACCACAATCATGGACTTGTGCATGTGAACCACATAGTAGATCTGTATGACAGCTCTGGGTTCAGTGTTCCTAATTGCCCCATGGAATCTGCCATTAATGCAGCAGGACAAATGAAGACTCCTCAAGCGCTGAGATGCCAGATGTGGCTCAGCTTCTTTTCACTGTAAAACTCATTGGCTTAATTAAAAAGGGAGCGTCATGGTTAAAGATGAGAAGATGGTTAAAGATCAGAATCGGGGTGTCTGAATAGGGAATGACTGACAGACCTTGATAAAGCAGATATTTTATTCATCATCATATATCATTTCTTTGCATTGTTTTATTTCTGTGGCTGTCTATAGTCATATGTGATTTAATTTGAAACACAAGTACAAGATTATAAAATGCACGCCTTTACATATGTATGTCCTCGTCAGTCTTTTGTGCCTGAATGTCAGTGCATCAAGGCTTTTATTTCCATCTTGCTCCTTGTGTGAGCCTACTTTAAGCTCGTTTGGTGAAGGTCACTTCACTGAATGGATATAATGTTTCATAACAGTGTGCTTTCTGTTTCATTTTCACATTAAATGTGTCCAAAGATTGTTAAAATAACAATATACATATACACTGGCCATTTCACTAAATGAGTGAATCCATTTCCCAAAATTTAAGATCAAGACTCGATCATTGGCTTTTTTTCCCGCTCTCAACCGTGGCACAGCAGTGACTCAGATTTGTGCTAAATTCACAATAGTGAACTCTTGGTCTCAACGAAATGTTCCACTAAACTGTTAGTCACTCACTGAATGACGCTGTTTTCCACTGATGAAAAAACTCAATTGTTCATTCTCTCACCAGATCATGATTTGTTCACATAACAGGGCTCTTTCTGCCAATTCACTAGGGTTACCTGGAGTGGCCTTGTCTGCTCTGTGTTGGCTATGATGATAGCTATGCCACTCAGCTTTGTGTGGAGTGAATTTGAATTACTTGAAATAGCCTCAGTTTGTATGGGGGCAGCAAAGACATACACATACAGTGTAATTAGTAAGTAAATGAGTAGTAAGCAAGAACAATATCAATATGTTTACATTTACTCTGTATAGGATGAATTATACATAATAATTGTTTTGTTCAATAGGGTCTATAAAAAAGCTTTTTATGATTTTACTCTTGATGTTATGTACTAGGACGCAGCATACAGTGATATATTGTTGAAATGTTTTATTCAATGCACAATACAACACACTTTAACAAGATAACACCAATAAATAATTTACAAAGAATAAACAACACCTGTTGGACATCCTCCTCCTCAAACATTTTTTCCTTCTCACTGTTCATGTTATAAAGTCAGATTATATCACATTCATTAGATGAAGGGTCTTTAGTGAAGGCATCATACTCTCATTTACTCTGACAGGTTAGGAAATTGGCATGTGTAATGTTCTTGCAGCACTCTGACTTCTATTTTTAAAAGTGTTTTTCATTGTTTGCAGTGATTCAATCAAGAAAATATTAAAAGAAGATTGCAAATCCATTTGGTGAAATTGATCCTTGATTGGTGTCTCCATTCCAGAGGACCATAACAGGAACAGAAAACTAGAAATCACAGAAGAAAACTAGAAATCACAGAAGAAATCTAACTGCATCTAAAGCAAGCCCGTCTGACTGTTCATATTTAAAGCCAAGTCCAATCTCACAGACATTTTTTATTTTACATACACAGTTTTGTTCTGACACAAAGAATGTCATGTTTCTTGCTAACAGTACAAAGGCATGGCTACACTGTAAAAGGCAGCACAAAGACATACATGTTGAAGGCAGCAGGAACTTAAGTTCTTTTCAACCTCGTTGAACTCAATCAATCTGTAACAGTCTTTGTATTCTGTGATTCATCACTTTGTTTTTCACACCCGAAGATTATGTTTCTGTCTATGTCAAGGGGCAATTACATCCATCATGTTCATACCTGACATTAGAGTCTATTAACAAGGTAGTGGCAATGTCCCGTGGTTCACAATCATTTATGAAATGACTAATTTCATTAGTTGGCAGATTTATTAGCTGATAAGTTAGAAGTGACTTTAAAAAGTGCTCAAAAGTTTGAGGTTCATATTCTAACAGCTGACTTCATATATGTCCGTGTCTGGTTTGTTGGTAATCTCTGGACATGAGCGACACGCAGGGCAGGCAGGTAGCTCTGAGCAGGACGGACAGGTCGGGCATCTTGGTCGTTTGAAGCTGAACAACAGAGCACTGCCTCCAAGCACCTGTAAACATGAACCCAGCCATCCAAAGTAGAGCGAGCCGGCTGGGTGTAGGGTGAGGAGGGGGAACCTGGGGTTATTGATGCCTTGACTTGGATCTGCCATCCCCAGTCTTCCAAGGTTGTGGGTGTACACCCCAAGAGCAGTCAGGCTCAGCAGCCCGGACATCACCACCAGGAGTCCACCTGTAGCTGCTACACCTCTCAGAGGTATATCTGTCCAACACCTGACCCCAATACATGCCAGGACAATGCCAAAGCCACACAGGAGCAATGAGGTCAGGACCAAACCTTGTGCCAGGCGAACCCTAGGGTCTCTCTGGTACGGACCTGCCACAGGCCAGCACTGCTTCAGTTCTGAATGCTCCACCTGCAGGCAGCTCTCCCAAAGTCCATCCGAGCGCAGTAAGAGCAGTGCCTCCGCTGACCCGGACCTGACCCCCATCCCCTGACCTTTCACTCCTGACCGAAGAAGTGACCCCAACCCTGCCATGCTCAGACGCGCCTGTCCCTCTCTCCACTGAGGTGTAATAGCGGCAGTGAAGACAAGGACCAATCCCAAAGGGGCGAAAACAATCCCCATCACCATGGAGGCTGGAGTGTGCATCATAAGCTGTGCGAGCCTGATTCTATACAAAACTCTCAGGACAAATAGCTCATTTGTTTTCTGTAAAAATAAAACATATCAGCTGCACAGTACCTCTGCTGAATGGGAGTATTTTCCAAAAGAAAGATGGCAGTGGCTGCTGCTCCTCCAGACAGGGATGCTGTTTGTTATTGTCATATGTTGGTGTCGTGGGACCCGTCAGAACGGGTGGATCTAAATCCAGTCACGTTTCACAAATGTCTCCTTTGACCAGACACTGCAGATCTGTGTCTGTAAAGAGACAAAGAACATAAATATCTGAATCTTTCTTTCCCAAATACATATAAATCAGCTGTGTGCAAAAAGCAAAGACAGTCAGTACAACGATCAGAACAATAAAAGTTCAACACCATAAATAGAACTCCACGCATTACCTCTTCATCGAAAACTCTCCTCTCTTTTAGCAGCAGACTCTTCATTCTGACTGTGTGAGTGAAAGAGAAAGATTCAGTTAGAGAGCGGGGTGCTGCACGTTGGCTCAGAGAGACGGAGAGAGAGATATGAGAAATAACAGAAGTGTGAAGTCTAGCAGTATACAGAGCGCTATAGCAGCTGGAGAAAGCAGAGGGAGGCTTGGCTTCACTGCTCTGGCGCTGGACAGGAACAGCCTGAACGGTGCCTGTCTCTGTTGCTAGGATACAATAACCTGGCCAGTGTGCATGACAGTGTGTGTGTGTGTGTGTGTGTGTGCGTGTGTATGTGGAGCTTTATTTACCACAAGACAAAGCTAGACTCCTCTCTATGAGAGCTGATTGCCTATGTGTACACAAATGTTGCCATAATTAAGTGTGTGTTTGTGCATGTGTGAGCAAGTGCGTGTGCGTGTTCGTGTGTGTGTCTCTATGTGTGTGTAGGAGGGTGTGTTGTTGACGCTGCTGTTTGCTCAAAGCCTAAGGATTGATGGCCAGCTATGACCTTGGAAGAATTCAGTCGAGTTAGTAATTATGTCAGGCTAGTGTCTGAATGCAGAGCGAGTCCATCTACAGTGTCTCAGCCCGGAGGAGGAAGAAGGAATGCCCTCTGGGACATCACAATTTGAACATGTGATTGACTCATGCAGACAAGCACACACACACACACACACACACACACACACACACACACGCAATCACAAGCAGCAGTAATATGACTTCCTTATTGCGGAAAACCACCCTTGCTTCATTTTCCTCAGCAGGTGTACCAGCATTACAGATGTCACAACCACTCACAAACTTTTCAGTAGAAATTTTAAAACAAAAACTCAATGCAATGAGGCCACTAATAAACCCAATCACTTACAAACTGTTGAGCTGTAATGACTAGAATATTTTACACAGAAGGATCATGGGCTGTCAACATAAAAATATAAATGGGCTGCTAATGTCACTTCTTTGTAGCAAAAAGAAGGGGAAAAAAACATATTGGACCATGGATATGAATGGCACAACCCCTGTGAAAACGGAGAAAAGGATTAATAAAAGCATATTGGTAACATATTGGCGAAACATACAATAAATAATCTGACTAACTAATGTATTTTGTTAACTGAAGCAGGTTCAGTGTATGGATGATGGTGGGAAATGTTTGCAAGCCAAATGTCAGCTTCTATTTCTTTTGGTGCATTATGTATGTTCAGCTTACATGAGCCATATTTGTAAATTTGACCTAATCAGTGACAGAATATTTCAGTTCTGGAAATGTCACTGGAGGGCTGATGAGATTTAGCTGGAGAAGACGGGTCAATAATTAAGGTAATGGGAAATCTCATTTTTGAAAAGATCAGATACAAACATTGAGTATCAGCCAAAGAACAGTCAAGAATTTACTAATAAAAGATTTACTTAAAGATTATACAAGAATATATCATACCAGAGGTGATTAGACTAGGCTAATATAAAATAAAAACATTCAATAAAATATTGTGTTTTCAAAAGATCCAAGTGAGTGGAGTGGAGTTTCACAAACACATACCTGTCTTCGAGTGTCATCTGTGTCTAAAATTATACGGCAACGCTGTTATAAAAAATATGGCAGAAATTCCTGTTCGGCTACAAGACGAGAAAGAGAGGCCTGACCCAGCTGTCAGGACAATCTCTGCATTTGGAGTGAATTAAATAGGTTTAACAGTCAGCTGCATCACAAAGTACTTGGTAAAAAAAACATTTTAGCCAGATCACGTCCACTTTTGATGCTAAAATTATAGATGCACTACAATAATAACAATAATACAATAATAACAATAATCATGCCAAAAGCTGTTCCTGCCAAGTCCATTCATTATTGTCTGTTACTGCAATGATTTCAATGCAGTGACTTCACTAGATGCTTGGTTTGTTTTGATGCGAACACAGCAAGGGGGAAGGTATGGAAACACCTGCAGAGAGGCACAACATTGAGGAGGATACTTGTAAGTCGTCATGAATTGAAAATGATTAACATACTGTAGGTTATTAATAGCCCAAACACTTCTCTCACGCAGGCACATTTTGAGCGAATGAATGCACAACACACACACACACACACACACACACACACACACACACATACACCATGGCCATGTAGTCACAGTCACTTACCATTCAGGAGGGGTTGTGGAGATCTCAATGCAGATCCCTGGCTGCTGTCATCTGAATGGCTAACATTTCTCTCTCTGGCAGCAGATGTTGCAACCACCTCTTCATTATTCTCGCTCTCTCTTTTTCTCATCTGTCCATGCAGCACTCCCCCCACGATCTCTCCTGCCTCCTAATTTTCTCTGTCTTCTTGTCTCTCATTGTCCTTGTGTCTGTCTCCTTTGTGTCTGCTTGCTTTGCTGCCTCCTCTCAGCGTGTGCCTCTCTCTTTGACTTGCTGAAGGATGTCTGGTTAATATCTAGGACAGAGTGCCTCTCTACTTTTCCGTGTCAGTGCCACCAAATAGGGAAAGGCAATGAGCTTTTCTGTATATGCAAACACTTCAAAACGTTTGTGCCTATTTCGGAGCACACGGAGGTGTTAGAAAACCATTAATTTTACATTTATCTGACGCTTTTATCCAAAGTGATTTATAATTGCTACATGTCAGAGGTTGCACGTCTCTGGAGCAACTAGGGGTTAAGTGTCTTGCCAAGGGCTTACCACAACGTGATTAGTTTTTGCTTGCTTCTTTATCTGCATGTCAGAAAAACAGACCAAACCCCTCTCATGCAGCTGAGATTCATGCTTTTGTTTGATCTGTATAGAGAGCGGGTAGCAGTTGTAATTGAGCACACACACAGGAAGCATCTCCTCCTTATCTGTTGTTTGTTCCAATAATAATTGATCCTGGCAGAGCTGCAAATGGCTGGCCTTTCAGTCAGATATCAATGCACAATAACTATAAATAATAACAGACAGACACAAAACCTGTCATGCATTTCCTTTATTTTCTTACAAAAGAGGCAAGGTACTATTAATACAACCAGATTTGCCATGCTATAATAATGAAATATCTTGGGGATACACGTTAGTTTTGAAATGATGTGTAACGTATAAGGGGAAAAAATCCTTTAAAAAAAAAATTTTTACACAAACACACACATACTCTGAAAGTCCTCCAGCAGGCCTTATGGTTTGGAGGGTTTGAACTGTTTCCAGGAAAACTCTGTGGTTATGCTATACGGTCAGGAAATGTCCACTGCTTTCAGCTAAATGATGGCCAAGACTAACTCTTGAGTGGGTGGAAATGTCTGACTTTAGGTTCTCAATTTAACCCAGTGTTGGGCCATTGTAGTCGTGAAACTAACAAGAACCTACAGGAAGATACTTATGGCAGTGAAAAACACCAGTAGTAGGTTGTGGGGTGAGCAAATGCACCATTGGGTCTTGTAGAAGAAATGATGAGTACATTGAAAGCAGCAAGAATAGCAACCTCTGAAAATGCTGAATAAAACACTGTACACAAATCATGCACAGAGCTCTGTAAAAAAATTGAAATACATAGCAATTCATGGAAAATGGATTGCGGCATGCACATGGCTAGTTTATACAACACTGTCATATTAAAATCTATTTACATTATATATGTACACACTGTTCATCATAATTGCTCTTACGTTACAATATTAAATTCAAATAAAAAATAAAAAGAACTGGGATGAGTGGTATTTACAAAAATCAAGAAACGGTTTGACGTTTTCTACTTTGGTTGAGGTTGGAAAAACTGGAAGTCTCTTCAGTCCAGTCCTCTTACTGGCAGTCCACAGGTTACATTGTCTTTGATGGGGCAGTGCTTTTAACAGGCATGTTTTCTAACTGGCAGCGCTGATTTGTTACATCCTTCAATAGAGCAGGTAGCTGATTGGATTCTCATACTTCAATGAGAGTGACCTGGAACTGACCACCGACGACCTCGGACATCTCAATGAGGAAGGCTGACTGGTTGGTGTAGTGTTCAATGATGTTGTCGTCCATGTTTACAAAAATCCTGAAGAGAGGACAGGCAAAAACAAAAAAAGGTTACCTCAGAGATCAGGATGAAAGAAATCTATCAGTGATGCACAGAAAGTGGGCCAAATCAAAGTGCATGAAACCTGTTTGAATAAAAACAGATTCTTCTTCAAAACTAGGACACGCAAATTGGCTCTAAAATGTGTTGTGCTCTATTTTTCACTCAAGTGTGACATAAACAACAGGTTTCTTGTTTGGTTGAACACATCATTTGTTTAGAGGAAGCTTCTCGGACGAAAAACACAGTGGCTGTGTATCTACTGCATCAGTAGGGGTAATGAATCAGGTCACTCTTTTCTTCCTCGCCAACACTAACACTAACCTTTGAGCCCTTAAAGCTTTAATGACTGTACTAACCATCAGCTCATGCATTCTGCCTGCAGGTCAGGGCTGATTGAAGACAAGAGCAGAGGGAGGGAACTGCGGGGAGAATGTAACCTAACCTGTTAGCTTAGCTGCTCCCGCTGAAGTGATGCCAGCAAGAGGCAGGAAAATCACCCAAAGGTGTTTCAGTCTCTGTCAGGAGATCTTATTAACATCTCGAGAAATGCCCACTGATCTATTTTGTTATTTTACAGGAAGTGACCCAGACTATTGTCAGTTTGAAAGCTATTGACTGTGTGAGATCAATGCATTGTGTTTTTGGAAGTTCTGCTAACATACTTGTCCTTTAAAGCCACCTTAGCTATTTTGATAATTACTTACTTAAAAGCAGATCTTTGTGAACCATCAGTCATGAAGAGAGGCGCTGACCTTTTCGTTACAATTAGAGTACCTCCTTTGTTTTATCAAAATATCTTTTGAGGAAATTAAAGGCATTGAAGTCCTTAGTTTTTTTGTTAGACACGGCACCACTCTAAAGCACCCAAATGTGAGAGTTTAAAAAATGATCTCAACTTAATGAATAACCATCAGCTTCTGACTGCAAGCCTCTGAAGCGTTCAACGTTACCACATATCTCTTTCACAACGGAAAAACTTCCTGATGCATAGATGCGAAGAGATTAGGAAAACATAAATAATGTACAACAATTGGTCACGATGACGCATCTGTAAGACTTTTGAAATCTTTTCTTCCTCCCTCACCTGTCTTCTTTTTGGAGGAGCTACAATTAACACATTCCAGCAGGCCCAGCCAACTAACCTACCTACCCAGTCTGTCAACATGAGCTTCCTTAATGAATAGAGGATGAGATTAAAACCACAAAACTAAGCCCTGAGTTTATGAAAATCATCTGTTTCAAATTAACTAATTTAATCCATTTGGGTGTTGTTGTATAATAACATTAGGCATACCTAAGAAACAACAAGACACTCACCCTCTCTTGCATTTCTTGTAGATTTTCCCAATGGTGTCTTTTTGCATACCGTACTTTTCTGAAACCTGAGGAGGTAAAGCAATATGAGGTGACAGTTAGCATGATCTCCTGCTGAAAGAAAGATGATATACTTGAGAGATAACGTACAGTAAAGTTAACACTATGAGAGCACGATGTGTGAGTTGGTGGAAAAGCACCAAAGAGAAATCAGGATTATTCAGGAATGTGTTTATGAGTGTTTGAAGTCAGTGTGTTACTTACAGCTTCTCGTAGGCCTGACAGCGTTGGTGTGCTGAGCATGAGCGCATCAAACACCTCTTCAGCGACTGTCCTCACGTACAGCAGAACTATTGGAAGGCAAGAAAAAGATTAACGTTTAGCATATAAGTTAAGAAAAGCTCATTGGCATATTATTGATCTTTGCATTATTTTTTTTTTTTAAATATTAGACTTTTTGGTTTTCAATGTACCTCTTTGAGGGTCTTCTCTGCGGGCTTGCTTGCTGGATGGAGAGCAGTTTTTATCTCTGTCTTGATACGATCTCTTCATAGAACTCCTTGGAAAAAACAGAGCAGACGGTCACATTAGATTAGCCACATGCGTTTATTCATAAATAAAATAACCGGTTGTGATGGACAGCTATTAATGCAGCCTTGTGTTTCCTTTCTATGCTTACCTTTCGATCTCGTCCATGGGAGTGGCCTAGAGAGACAGAGAGAACAAGAGGAGACCGGAGATCAGATTAGACACCACTCCACTGATAAAAACATTGCTTAATGCCCCCCCTTCCCACCATTGTTTGTCCACAATACCTTCAAAAAGGAATGTTATCATTACTTTCAGACTGAATTTCCCATAACCTCTAACAGAACAATGTAAGCGTGGACACTGATGGGGAGACACAGATAGGACCTTCCTACGCTTTATCATACTGGCCAATCATAGATGTTTTCCGCCATAACCTTTCATAACAGACTGTGGTGCATTGCATTATTAAGTCATTGTGTAATTGCTGTTTTTTTGGTCTTCAGTTTTACTCACTGTTAATCGGGCAAACTGGGGAAGCATTTCCTCTATACACAAACACACACACTCCCCCTGTCTCTCTTTCTCTCCCTCATACATTTCAATCTAGACTAAATGGTGTGGGAAAACTGGCCTGTCTGAACATCACCCTTGCCTCACTGTTTTTACAAGTGTGTGTGTGTGTGTGTGTGTGTGTGTGTGTGTGTAAAGGAGAATGAGGGTGGCGCATACTGCATGTCAGGTGTCTTGTGTGCAGTTGCACCAGGTGTGAGAGCCCCCATAGCTTAATCTCAGTGTCAGTAGCTGTAGCAGCTTGTATCTTGCCCGGTTTCGACTCCAATTAGCTCATCTGATCTTTCGCCTCACTTTCGCTGACACCTCCCCTTCCCACCCCACTTTTCCCCACTACATACTTTCCCACAGTTTTTTCCTGCCTCTCTCGTGCCTATCCGATCGCCTGCAGGGATGCAGTTTTTGGGAACATGATTCGCTCAACACAGGAGGAGTAACAAAATATAATCAAAGGGGGACCTACTATGCGTTGTAAGCAGGAGAGGTGTGTTTCTGGAATGAAGAGAACTGGCTGGGTGACGTGGTCATCCAGGGTTTGGAAGAAGGTGCAGTCACTGCCCATGGAACTGGTCACCAAAGACTTGTTGGCTGGAAACAAAAGCAGGACGGTCCACGATGTCAGAACACACTCTCTGAAGGCTGTGTTTATATGCTGTATTTATTTTTGGAGGGTAAAATGGTATTTAAGTTGCGCTGTCTGTTTGCAACACTCACTGTTAGCATCGTTCTTTCCTCTCCTTTTGCTTCTCTTTCTCTCCTCATCACGCATCTTCCTCTCTGCACCCTGAAGACACACAATCACAGTTGCAACAACTCCACAAATGCCAGATTTAATTTATGTGTGTGTGCATGTGTAAGAAAAGAAGGAAGTGAAATGACACAAGTAACGTACCTTATCACAGAAAATCTTGACCTGGCAGGCAGCTCTGTGTAGGAGCTGGTTGGTTCCTGAGCTGAAATCATAAGTGTCAATCTGGATGTTTAGAGGCAGGCCTTTCACTCCCTTCTGAGATGAGAAGTCTGTGCTCAGGGAGTTGATGCCAATGTACACCTGTAGAGGAATAGGAGTAGGTGTTTTAAGCACATCATGTTGGCATCATGTTTTTGTACATAATAATAATAATATTAGCTCTATTTGTGCAGCACTTTCCAATGCAGGTAACAAAGTGCTGTGCAATAATCACTGCAAAACATAAACACGTCATTTACAACAATTAATATGTAAAACATAAACAAGTCAATATGGAATTAAAGGAAAAATACATTACGCATAACACAGTGAAAGCTATTTTGTACATGTGTCACAGTAGAGACACAATGACTGACTGGTTTGAGAGAAGTATGCCAATGAAAAAAAAAGGAAGAACTTGGAGCCATTCACAACACACTGACATGTTTTTAGAGTGAGCCTTGCTTTGATATGAAAATAGGTTTGTTTGTTGGTTTAAAGATTCTTCTTCATCTGCTCAAAACAAAACATCTGCTGCTCTCATTTTTTCCTGTCTTGAAAGAGAGACACGCTTCACTCTGTCAAAGAGTATGGTCTACACCTGCTCTATTTGAAAAGTACAATGAGATCACTTTTGTTATGAATTGGCACTATATAAATAGAACTGAGTTTAATTTAATAATTAATTAATTTAATTCTGTCCTCCTCGTTTTTCCTTCTTTTTTTTAATCATTAAATGCACAGTGTTAGACCTCTCTATCCTTACATTATCTGCTGATAGTTTCCTTTTCCCTTCTTCCACAGGCAGCAGGTTTGGTGGCCCCACCTCTGCACCTTTGGGCCACAGAGAAGCTCTATTAAGTTGCCGTGGCTCTCGCCTGCTGTTGTGACAGGAGCCTCAGGGCCAAACACATTTCTGGGATTCCTCCCCTCCCTCGCCAGCCACTCCTTCTACCTTTCCTCTCTTTTCTTCTAAATCTTCCACCTGTTCTGTTCCTTCTCTCTTCAGAGAACCGGCCTTGCAGAGCCACGTTATGTAAAAATATCTACGCCTTCTTTTTTTAATGATAGTGTGTTTACCTTGGCCTCTTCATTGGGGTTCCAAACAAAGGAGAGAGCGTTGAAAGCCACCTCCTCTACGTTGCTAATGCCGCTGAACACTTCTTTGTAGTCCGCTATAAAAGAAAAACTTTTTTTTTAAATATTCTTTTAATAATCTTTTCAGGTTTTTAATTATGTAAGAATGACAGGTTGATTCTTTTAACACATGACAGACAAGTGACAGAATCTTTCGCTTTCATGTCCTTGGTGTAGGTGTCTGTGTTCAGGTGTACAGCGACGTATGTTTATTTTTCATGTGTGAAAAACATACCGATGTCAATGACCCTCTGCTTGGCAGTTGGCTGGCGCGCGTGCCAGTGATTCCAAAAACGGAGCTGCATTTCTGGGCTCTTGTCATTCTCAAACACAGCCATCACCACTGTCTGGAGTGGAGAAAGAAAAGTGACAGAAAAGCAGATAATTAGATACATTTGTCAAGCTGAATGTAATTCTGTCACCAGCTTACATTTCCAGGACTGGCGAACGTTTCATTTGTCACGCCAAATCCCCCTTTTCTTCTCACATTGTCACCAGTTATTTGCAGTGAGCGGGTGTGTGTTTGTGTGTTTTTGTCCTCTGATTTGCTCAACAAAGAAAAGGGTTGTCACCTATATATTAAAACCAACCCCCCTTGTCCACTGCTCTTTTCCCCCTCACACTCTGCTTGTGTCAAACGGAGTTGAGCTGAACCCCGCTGCTCTCTGGCCTCATTACACCAACGCAGGATTAATTATACAGGGAAGGACACTGTCATTTTAAAGGTAGTGTGCAGGGTGTCAGCAGGGAATTAGTCACCGAGAGGCAGGCTCCAAGGGAGGGACAGATTTTTGGGAAGGGTTGGCTTGGTAGCACGCAAAGAATTCATGTGTTCATGGGCCCATGGAAAAAGCCTGAAGGGAAGGATGGCAATTTGCACAATACACATTTTTTTTTAAGTTAGCTACACATAGAAAAACAAAACAGAGACTCAGAGAGAATCATTTCTAAAATTTAAAAAATATGGTCCTTGCTTTCCTGACGATGTCTCACCTTGACTTTGGTGGCATTGAGGCAGGCACTGTTGTCCACTCCTTGGAGAGTGATGGGGTAGAATTGGCCCTTGTTCAGGTAGACCATGGGCAGCTCATTGGACTTATATGTAGAAGCAAGGGGAGCTCCCAGGGAAAACTGAAAGTCACTCCTGAATCTCTCTGGTGGGGAGCAGGTGTAGGAGCCCGAGTACACAGGGCTGGACTGGTCCTCGGTAAAGGGATCGCTGTAGGGAAGGGTCTAAAATCCACAAAATCACACAGGGACATTTATTAATAAATGCAATAAGGAGAGGCAGGCAGATGGTAATGACAAATAAAAGAGGACCTACATGGGGAAACAGGGATTCAGCTTTCAAATAATGACACTTACCTCAGTGCTGTGGTCTGGGAAAGCACTGGGCTCTGGCCACTTCTGCAGCAGGGAGTCAAATATGATATTGAGTTCCTGCTTGTCGTAAGTGTCAGCTACGACACTGGTTAGGTTGGCGTAGGTGTCTGAGGTGTTGGGAACAGAGCTTGGCAGGGAGGTGGGATGTTTGGAACCCACAACCTCTTGAGGACTCTCTGAGAGGAGCTTCATGATGTTGGCAGACCCCTCCAATGAAACAAAGTCACTGCTGTTGGTTGGATTCCTGGCGGGGTGAGGTAGGGTGGGGCGGGGCGGGCAGGTGGGAGGAAATAGAAGGGAAAAAGAGAGCTGATTAATTACAAAAGGAAAGCCACTTTTGTGAGGTCAGCATGACTTGGTAATACTCCTCCTAAGTGTAGAGAGAGATGGGAAACAAACAACCTTAAAGAACCAACTAATTGTAGTGTGTCTTAATAATAATAACTTGATTTATATGGCGCCTTTCACAAACCCAAGGACGCTTAACAAACGGGGGGGGGGGGGGGGGGGATAAGGTGTGAGGCCAGGGGAGATTAAAGCCCATAGGCTTCAGTGAAGAGGTGTGTTTTAAGCTGTTTTTAAAGGTTATTAGAGAGGAGGCAGAGCAGATGGCAAGAGGGAGCTTGTTCCAGAGTGTGGTGCACTGACACAGAAGGCTCTGTCACAAATGTCCGGAGCCTGGAATTAGGGACAGCGAGCAGGTCCTTGTCAGAGGACCGCAGGGACCGTGACTGAGTGTAGCGATGGAGTAGATCTGTGAGGTACTAAGGTGCAAGTCCATGTGGTCCAAGTCCATGTAAGGAGAGTGTTGTATGTCAAACATTACAGAACATTACAGAAGCTTGCAGAGAGCCTGTGCAAACATGCAACAGTGAGCAAAAGCACTTCTTGTGTCCAAACTCTCTCAGCACACATGGCTACTGCAATGTGAACTCGCTGGTGTGAGTCTGGGTGGGTACTATTTGTCTCTTAATCCTACTTTTTTCCCCTTCTCTGTGTTTCTCTGTTGAACGTGTTTGAGAGGACAACACTGCGCCCCAACAATAGCCATTTCTCACTCACCTAACAAGAAGTAGGAATGGAGGAAAAACAACTGTCTGTCTGCCTGTTGGGAAACTCTTTAAGCAAGGCAGAGTGGATGATAAGAGAGGATAGACGGATGGCAGGACTGGAGAGGTAGACACTAATCCCTCTGACTATGTTTGACTTGAGGATTACCCATTCACCTGTTTATGACCTCCCAAAGTCCTGCCTTTCTCTTTCTGTATTAACACTCTCTCTAATACATTTTATCCAGCTACAACCGGGGAACATTTAATAAAAAATTTTTAATGAATCTGCTGCAACCAATAACTTTTTGGTGGATTTATGTGTTTCTTACCTCTCGGTTTTGCAGATGTTGCCAGCGCGGTTGCAGGTAGCAATCTTCTGCTCTTTCTGGCTCTGGAAAAAAAAAGTGATCAGAGTGAGAACGTTAGAATTAATCTTGGGGTTAACATTAAGTTATGTTGGGTTTCTAATTACTCATTGCGCATTATCTACCTTGCACTGTTCATAAAGCATGGTTAAGGCTGCCAGGTCATCTCCTGGGTGGAGTCTGGGTTTGGAGTGGTTTGGCTCGGGGACAGGGCTCTCCAGGTAGGACCAGGATTCCATGACGTGGTTAGTGTAACGGTTATAGTTGAAGTTCTCGCTCTGAAAGACCAGTCCCAGAGTCCTACAGACAAGAGGAGAGAGTTGAGAGTGACTGATTAGATTGACAGTTTGATCGGCAAATTCAGATATACACAAAAAGACAGAAATGTAGAATTATCTTGCGAACCGAAAAGTTAAATAAATGGATTCAAATATTTTAGATGCTTTCTTCTTTCTTACAAACAGCCTTTGACAGAGTGAGAGCAAGCTGGAGTTTAAACGTAGTGCCTGAGCCTCAGGGCACTGCACATACTTGCCCCTGAGCGTGGATGGTTTCGATTACCAAACCGCAGAGCTGAGTAACATCTCTCAGAACCAATGGTGTGAAAAAGGTTTAAAAAGCCAGGGGCCACCCACTAACAAGCTCCCCTCCATGCTCATATCTTGAATCCTGTATACATTTTCTTATTTGCAAAGATCTTAAAAGAGATGACAAGATTTTCTTACTAAGTAAATAGAAACCCACAACCGTAACTGACTAATGGAAAAAATGCCTGGGATTCTGAGGATTTGATTTGTTTGGAAAGACTCGCAGTTACATTGGACTGTAAATATTCTGCCTACCGGGATTAAGGCCTCCTTGTAGTTGATCTGAAGTAGCTAATGAACAAATATCTGCAGTTTACTCTGGATAAACAGCAAATTAAATGTGCTGACAGGAGGGAAAGACCACACTAGCTTACAACCACAATAGACCCAAAGCTTAAGTAGAAATCCAGTGATTTCTCGTAAGGATTACTGAAAGAGGACTGAATTTTGTATTTTAATACCATACCTGGAAAGCTAGAAATGCTGTATTAAAGCATGATATAGTGTACATTTTAACTTTTGTCTTGACACAGGATTAAAGTCTGCTTGCTTGATATTTTGGTTACATTATAAAAACTAAAACAGTACACCTGCTCTAAGATGCACCTGTCTCTTCTCCTCACAAGCAGCAGCATCATTGAACAACACACAACTCTTTAGTTACTCTCCATTTCATTCTAAAACGCAGCCAAGTGCAGATGTTTTTAGACACACACAGAAGGGGGGCTCGTGTCTAAGGTTTCGCCTTTATGTAATTCAATGCATTACATGCTGTCATTGCCCTCTGTCTCTGTCCAACACCCCAAGAGGAGATTCTTATTTCCCAGTGTCCTTTTGTGCTCTGTGGCTCCTAGGTTAGTGACAACACAAGCTGAAACAGACCCTCTACAACCACAGACCAAGCTGTGTATGTGTGTCAAAACTATCCATATCAATTTCCCCATGCAAACACTCCCTTGTAAAAAGGTGTTTTTTCACATGGGGGTCTCATTGCAAATAGGAAGAAGGGGGGTTATGTCCCCCAGACTGGGATCCAATAGGAAGTATTTACTGTATTACACAAAGTCTATCCATCTTTTAGACAAAAAGCACATTTTGAGAAAGGAATCCTGATACAGCATATACTTTTAGCCAAAATACCAAAAAAGATCCTCACAGAACTTACTCAGTCTCTTTGGTCATGTCTCCAATCCAAGTGGAATAGGTTCCTTTAATTTCAACTCCTCGCTGTTTCTGCGTCAGTGAGTCTATGAGTCTAGCAGGAGAACAGTGACACACAGATGAGTCAAGTGTTGTGATTCCTTCTGAGCATGGGCCAGATTTATTTCATCCCAGCCGAGTTTCCCTCTCTTCTCTGATTGGAAGACTGAAACAGGTGCCTGATAGGACAGGTGTAGGATCATTAACTCTTCCCTGGCTGGAGAGAAACTGGCTTGCATATGTATGAGTGTGTGCAGCCAAAAGAACACTTTGCAAGACAATCCAAGGCAGCAGTATTTTGAATCTCATTATCGTTCCAGATAAAAGGGTGAGATTGGGGATCCCTGAGGTGTGAAAGGTTTGTTAATGACCTGGAACTCGGCTTTAACATGTTAATAGTTTTCAGTATCATTTTTCACTCTCCCCCTTCATGTTCATTTCTTACACAGGTTTTGGTTTACAGGTATTTTCTAGGGATCAAAGATGCAAAAATGGATGCTTTAGTGTTATGGTCAATACTCCTGAGGAGAGGTGGGCTTATGGGGAACTTATTTTTAAAATTTAATTAAAGTGAAAAGTTGAGAGATTCAAAAATGTACATGTAAAAATAAAAATAACATCTTGTAACTTCTTAGATTTAGAATTATGCAACTAGTTCCAATTTTTCAAATGCATTGTAAAGTTTTGCCTTTTAATCAATACCTTTACAAATGACACAACAAAACATGTACACACAGAATAGACTCCAGTATAAACCAATAAATTAATAGTGAACCAAAACAGAAAAAAGCAAAAACAAGAAATGAATGGTTAATTAAATAAATAAAGTTTACATTTTATTTTTTATTAAAAATCATTACCCAGTCTAACACAACTAAGTAGCATTACCACAGTTGCAAATACAACAGATATAAGTAAAATTCCTGCATTCAAAATTGGTAATTAGGTAAAAGTATAGACGTATTATCAGGGATTTTATTTCAGTGGTTTGTATGAAGATATTTATTGGATTATCATTATTATATGCAATAACTGTGCAATTACATGCACAGTAATTGAATGTTTAATTGGTCCAGCTGCAACACCTTTAACCTTTGAAGTGTTGGGCATTTTGACTTTTAACAATAAATCAATATAAAATTATATGTTTGGTGTGAAAATATTTGATCTTTAAAGTAATGATACCTGTCAAATACATGCACTGAAGTACAGTGCAGAGTTAATGTACTTAATAACTTTCCATCTTTGTGATTGAATGTTAAAATAATAGTAAAATAGATGTTGACTCTTGAGTTGGTCACTCTGAGGCCAGTTCAATTATTTAACTACTTCTGCCAAGATATTTGATATATGATGATTGTGTTTGATATTTGATGATGAATTATATATGTGGTCTGCTCAACAAGTAATTTAGTGACTAAATGCATTTTTGACTTTGCATGTGAAAGTGAAATTTATTTTAGAAAACATACAACGGAAATAAGTGGAGATAGATTTTACGTCGCTGATTACAAACTGTGGATCACAACTACAAGATGAAATGTTCACTTTCACATTGACTTCGAGGTAAAACACGCGCACAGTAAAACAAGCGCACTCAAGTCAAGCCAAAGGTCACAACTCTTGCTACCAGGAATCCAAAAGCAGTGAGGCTTGGAAGGTCTTCATGTCAGTCAGAGATCATCTTACACCCACACACTGGTGCACACTTACACAAACACACACACACACACAGAGTGAGACAGAGAGAGAGTAATGTGCATGTGTGTAATGACATGTTGCTTTTTATCTGTTCATTTATGTGTGTGAGCACCTCTTGTGGCTGACACCTGAGGGAATCTGGCGTGATAACACATAAGGGTGCGTGCTGTGCAGCTTGCCCACACACTCACACCCTCGTAGACTAACAAACACACACATAGACATAGAGCCCCAAGGCAAGCTGGCATCGAGTCAGGAGAGAAAGAGAAATAAGGAAGACTTTTCTGTGTGCGGCACACCTTCATTATATCATATATGTCCTGAGAGTGCATCCACACAATTAAACTTAATTTAAGTCATTCCAGTTAATGCTCCATCTTTGTCCGCTACAATTTCCAAATGTTGTTGACTAAAATGGATGTGAGTCTTTTCCACAAAGCAATCAGCCTCTGCTTCGTTTTTCATCAGCTTGTTGAGGGTGTGAACGGTTTCTCTTGCCTGTGGTTTCTTTTCTCTCACACCCATAAAGCCCTGATGCACACATCTAAACTCCAACCAAACATACGTCCCCTGGACAACAGTTCAATTAGCAACATTTTACTGTATTTTCACAAGAATAAACTGTTCTAAAATGTGCAATGAAGTATAAGCAGCAACTGCAAAATACTAACATTGGCAACACTGGCAGTTCTGAATGTATGTTTAGTCACACAATAATCATGAATGAGACGTTTAATGATGTAGTTGGGATTGTAAGATTTTTTTAATTGAGGTGGGATTGCTAAATAATTTCTTAACAATCAGAAAAAGTTGCCTGAAAAAACAATGTAATTTGGTACTAGTTAGGGAAAGCGGAGAGAGTGTTTTATCAGTCCACTTCCAATTAATAAATGTAAATGTATTTCTAGTTTACTATATACAGTCTTTTAGCTAGAGCACAGCAGGTCAGCTGAACATGCAAAAAATCTATTAAAAAAAAAACCATTGTCTACAGGTGCGCATACAATTCAACATGATATTCTTATTAACATTTACTTTTAGGTCTTTTAGTGAAGGTATTATTTTCTCAACAAAAATCAATCACACACACACTTTTCTGGGAAGTTTGACCCTGTAAAATAAAGTGTCACCAAAACACAAAACTGAAACTTACAATGTGAGGCTATGGTTTACTAAAATATGTTTAAATTACATATTTCAATGATTTAAGTAATATGAGATAGAAAAATAATAATCTAATAATATAATTTCATCTTTACTAGCCTGAGTAAGTTCTATCAAGCATGTGTTAAAAGTCTTCTCTTCAGTGTTGAACTTTCATGTCTTCATTATGTAAAAGTGTCAATGGGCCCACAGAGACCTCTGGCCTAATCCGACAGGGTGGGAATGACGGCAAAATGGAAGATAGATGGCTGTCACAAGATGTTCAAACGACTGCCTTTCATGCCATGAAACTTACCCATGGAGTGAGAAACCAAGACCCAAGTGTCCCAGTGCATTGGTCTGTTGTGTGACTGTTTGTGTGTGTGCATGTGAGCATGCAGCCATGCATGGTGGCATACAAACAGACACCAGCGCTGGCTCTACGCACGACTGCTGCTGAGAAGGGGTTCTCTCGTCACCTCTCTCCTCCCACTATATCTCTCTTTCTCTTTTTCCTGTCTCCCACTTACTCCTCCTTTCACCAACTTTTCCTGCTCCTCCTTTCCCTTATGACTGTTTGACCACTAAAGCTCACCTTGCTCTTGCTGTTTGAGAACATTTTCATCAGGACTTAAATACCCTCAATATAAAGATCATGCAAATTTAAACTCTTGAACCGGAGTGAAAAAGTGATGCAAATTGACGAAACAAATTAAAATAGAAGTAAATTCTTTTGAGCTGCTGCTGATCCTTCTCATTAACTCCAATACAGCATACATATCTTTCTATCTCTTCTCTTAGTAAATCTCTCCATCTGTTCGAATGCCTGTTTGTCATGGAAGAATGTGTGCTGAAGGTTGACAGAGATATAAGGAGCCCTGGGGCTTGTTGCTCTCTATCTTCTCCTAACACTGTGAAACTACTGAGTGTGTACCTCTTACCGTAATGTTGACTTGAACTGCAAGGCTTCCTGCCTTTTCCACCAACACCACTTCCTCCTAAAATACTTTAATCATCCACCCCCATATTCTGCTAAATATTCAGTTTAATTAAGAGTGAAAAATAAAGTATGTAGTGCCTGTAGTTAAATGTATTTCACATGTCTGACAAAAATCTAAATTCAATGTCCGAACAGTATTGAGGATACAGGTTGCCCAAGCATTTTAAAAGCATAAAACAATGCCAACATTTCCTCTGTTGCTTTTTTAAAATTGATTTCCAATGTGTGTATCTGCATTGTTCAAGCTCTTAGGACACTACAAATGTTGCTGTCCTGTGTGTAACACTTAATATTGTTTGTAAATGATGCCACCTGCCTGAATCAGTAACTTTGAAATGAGGCATTCAACAAATGATTGACTCAAATAATACTTGCTCAATGCAATGTTTTTTTTTTTTTTGCAAAATAAGCTCCATTTTGGGGACCTGAGCATACTCGAAAACTCACCAAACTTTGCACACATGTCAGAACTGGTGAAAAATTGTGTATTTTATGGGTTTCGCGCATGGGCGTGGCAAAATGACTCGCTAGCGCCACCTAGAAAATTGGAAACAATTAGCCCCTCGTTTACGTTCAACCTACATGCACGAAATTTTCTGGGGACATGTATCATATCAAGACGCACAAAAAAGCCTCAAGAACCCATAGCCTAAAGTCAACAGGAAGTCGGCCATTTTGAATTTTACATCCATTTTGGATGATTTACACACTTTGTACTTTAACAAACTCCTCCTAGGGATTTAGTCGGATCGACGTCAAATTTCTGCTGTGCCTTCTAAAGGCATTGACGATGAAAAGTTGTGCTATTTGCGAGTTTTCGTCAATGGGCGTGTCCGTGGCGTCGATGATTCGCTTTGAAACAGGAAGTTGTTGTAACTTCAGTGTACATGCTCACATCTGGACCAAACTGTACATGTAGGATGAGAGTCCCGCCCTGAACACATGTACATGCCGACATTCACCCACAGTCATAGCGCCACCTGCTGGCAACAGGAAGTGACCTTTAACGAAGCAGCCCCCGCCGCACGTTTCACCTACGTGCACAAATTGTCTGTGGTACGTGTATCTTGTCCAGACGCACAAAAAAGTCTCTTGGAACCATAGCCTAAAACCAACAGGAAGTCGCCCATTTTGAATTTTACGTCAAATTTTGGATGATTTACACACTTCATACTTTAACGAACTCCTCCTAGGGATTTAATCCGACCGACT